TTGGTGATTTGATAACAAGGCAGCGTGGCCTACAGCCCCGGGCTAGAAGGGAGGTCAGTAGTCTCAGTACTAACGGGCCAAAAACACACATCATCTCGCTCTCTCTTCACTTTTTTTCCCTCGTCTGGGACTATAATTCTGATGAATCATCCATGAGTTACTTCCAGTAGCCGCACTACGTTTGGTGCACCACGCCGTATATATCTCTCCCGCGTGCTTCGTATCGCTGGCCTTGCCTGTGGGAAACTAGGGGCAGGGTGAAGCAGAGCCCCGTATGGACACGGAATTGAGTTAGGTTGTTGGTGGGACAAGTTTACGGTCAGCGTTTAGGCTGCCGCTTTCAAACGCCGCGCGGCCACCGCCTCTCCGGGAGAGTCTCTGGAGAGTCTCTCCAGGCCACGGTGCCACCCGCATTCTTCCAGGTGGAAAGGAGAGCCGTGCGCGGTGTCAAACAGTGTCGAACACGGACGAGGACATGACCCCCCTTGTCGCCCTCGTCGCGCCGGCCGCGCCATGACAAGTGTAGCGTGTCGTGAGATGCGACAGTGCTGTCAACATCGTGCGTGCCGCTCCGCCACGTCTAGTCAAATGAAGAGAAAGGAGGCTGGGAAATCTGTGGTAGCTCCGGCCGTCAGATCTAAGCCGAGAACTTGTTGCAGAAGAACCAAGTTTGTTGAAGGTGCAAAGACTGCTCCGGGAGGTGCGTTCAACAGAGGCCCGCCTGTCAGCCTGCCGGCCGGCCGGGCTGTTTCCCGACAGTGGCTCGTCTCTCTCGCGCTCGCCGTGGATTGACATGCCCCGGGCCCTTCCGTGGCCTTGACGGCCTAGACGGCCTTGACGGCTGCACGGCCCCCGCAATGCAGTCCAAACCAATCAGAGCCAACAAGCGCACCTTTATTTAGGACGAGCCGGCAATTAGAACGCCCCATCGAACAGCAGGGCTGTTTTGTCCTTGCTGCAATGCAGCCAACCCAGAAGAAAAACTGCATATTTGCTGCACGTTTGTCAGTTTTGATTCTTCGGTAAAGTTCATGTGACGAAATTTCTGGTTACAGCCACTTTTCTTTCCCGGGCAACTCGTTCTCACGCGTCAAGTTTGGTATCTGAGAATTGTAAATAGGTACACGACTTGCTGAGTCAGGTTGGGGCTTCGGGCTTTTTCCGTGCCGGCGAAGGCGAGCCCTGCCGCTAAGTGAGGTCGCCCTGTTCGGAGACACCAAAGCGCGCGAAATGAGTGAGCCCGTTGTGCGCTGGTTAGGTTAGGTTGCCCCGCGCGGCGCGCTCATTGGCTGGCTGGCTGCGCGCTACACTGCAAACACGTTTGCCTCGGCGAAAGTGAATCGACAGCAGCTTCCCCGCCGACTCATCTCGCTTATCGCGATCGTTGCGCGACTTCGCGACACCGCGAAGGACTTATCTAGCGCGGGCCGGGTTACACCGAAGTGGCCGAACTCACGAAGGCGGTCGGGTAATCATTCGTCCTGCATTGCCCTCCGGATCGTGATTCCCTCAGTCAGAAACGGCCCAACTGCACCGCAAATTGCGCACGCGCTCGGCCGACGTCCCGTTTAGCCCGTGAGCGCGGCGTCGTCATGGCGCGTCAAAGTGTAGCCCACTTCCCGCCCACTCGCCGGCCGGGCCGGATTTCTCGGAAAATGGGGGAGGCTGAGCCCATGGCGAGCCAATAAGATGTCAAATGAAAGAGAAATTCGACTGGAGTCGAAGTTACGGCCAGGAGAGGAAGAGGGAGACGGACTCGGTCGCGCTGCTCCCTCGGGACCCCCTGTCGCGGTTTGACTTTCCCTGCAGCCAAAACCCGGATAGGTTGCATGTCGGTGTCGCGAGTGCATTGTCTGTCATCCGCCGAGCACCCACCGACTCGTTCACTGCGAAACGAAGGCAGACATTGACCTGTCGTCCATGGTTGGGCCAGCCTGTGGCCAGCCTCCCAAACGCACGCACGCACTCGACTCAAATTGACGTGGACTACATCTGTAATGCGGCATCATAATATTTGAAGAAGTCTTGCGTGGCGCTCTTGAAACCGGTTGCTTGTTTTCGTGGTTTGTCGTTTATGACGTGCCCTAAATTGGACTGCAACAAGCTTCGACACTTAATATCCGCCCGGAATGCCTTTCGCAAGCCGGCCCCGCCGTGTCCCATTCAAAAACTGTCACGTGTCACGAGCGCCCCTCGACGCGTGCTGTTGGTCTCGGCTTCGTGCCGAAAACCTCGACCTGCTCTCAATGTTTCTGTGGAGGTGGGGGCAGCCACAAGCGTTGAAGCTTAATACTGTGTAAAGCCGACAAATTTTAGCAGATGACAAAATCAACAAAAATTTGAAATTTGATATGCACCTGTTTCAAAGCGCTTGATAAGGAAGGATAATAGAGGGCGCCTTCGGCTTCGCCCTCGTGTCGGAGCGACACTCCTTTCCTCTCTCGCACACTGGCTCGGCACCCTTCCCACTGGGCTAAGCGGGCCGCGGCTTCGACAAAACGATTGATTTAGATAGAGCCTGACCTGTCATTATATAATTACTGTCGATTGCCCTGACGTCATCGACCCAATGAATAAGGCGGAATGATATGAGAAGTAACGAGGTCGGAGGCGCTCAGAGCTTTCCCCGGCGCTTCAACGAGAGTAGCAACAAGGAGTTTGTTTGCATTGAGGCTTCCCGGCGGCGCCGGCTTGCCTGGGCTTGCCCATTCATCGCCTACATGTAGAGCAATTACCGAGCCCTTCCGTTCAGGAGCAATCAGTGCAATCACGGTCAAAAAACAAAGGGCGCTTTCTTCCCGGCACGTGTGGGTGAACTTATCTCAGTGTAAAACGGCCCGCTGCTAGGGAACGCTTTGCAATCGGTTCGCGACGCGCGTAGACAGACGTCGGCCCGTACGCCAAGCATGTCGTCAGCGGCTGCGACCGCCTGCCGGCGCGGGAAAAATTATCTCCGATTCAAATCGGAGCAGTTGGTGGCCGGCGTCGCACGAGTCGCAAGACCTCCACCCGGCCGTCATCCGACACACCTCCGCCCTCTCTCTCGCACCCCCGCGGCCCACGGGGCCTTGCACGGGGCGGTCCATGAGTGCGAGAGAGACAGGGCGGCTGCTCCACTGTTTGGCCAGGCCGCTGACCTCCAAGTGGCCGGGCATGGCTCCACCCTTTCCGTGTCTCTCTTCGGCCGGCTTGCCGTTTCGCCGGGATGAAGCGAATAAACTTTCGGCGGGCCGACGACGCTAAGCGCGCTAAGCTGTGTGTCCTCACTGCGTGTGTGTGTGTGTGTGTGTGTGTGTGTGGTGTGATGCTGAATAGAGACACGTGAGCCGGGTGAACTGTTTGTGGCGAATGTTTGTGTGCAGTCAATACATCCGGGCCGGCCCGCCTCGCCCCGCCCTGCCCTGTGCACCCCCAGCCAGCAGCCCCCATCGACATTGTAAAAGCTAAGGTTCCTGCCTTGTGGCTCAATCAATGCGCGTGCTCTCCGCACCGCGCAAACTTTTCTCCAAAAGATCGTTTGGCTCGAATTGGCCGAGAGCGCGCTGGTACACTTCGAAGTTTGCTAAGCTAGAAAGCTAAATGGAATTCGCAGTGGCCGCGACACACCCCGCGATGTCGCGTCAGCACTTCGTCTGTCTGTCCGTCGACGAGGACCTGCTAGCCCCGATGTGGCGTCCGAGGCCGACGCCGTGGCGATGCACCGTGAAGCTGCGGCCTTTTGGATTACTCCTCGTCGGGGTCCCCTGGAGTCACCGGGGGCCTCCCAGAGAAAGTGTTCGGATTATTGAGCACTGATCCGCTCCGTCTCCGCGCACATCATTCACCGGAAGGCAGTCTGAGTCCAACCCCCCGGGGCGCGCACCCCGCCCCGCCCCGCCCCGCCCCGCTACCCCAAGCTTGTCCGCGCTGGATGCAAGGTGGGCAACACGTCTACAGCTGCTGGACCGAGCTGATCTCATTATAAAGCGGGCTCCCTCCCTTCACGGTTCCAACGTTTACCGACGCCCCCTCCCCCCACCAAAACTTTTCCCCCGAAAATAAAAAAAATTGTATCACATTTGGCAGCGTAGCAGCCGGCCCGCCGTCACCGAGCAGCAGCCCCCCTGCGGAGACACAGCGGTCCCACACGCGACGGCCCGGTGAAATTCAGTTTGGCCACAACAACTCAGGAGTGACCCAATGACCGAGGAAATGAATTGGAATGGGCGTGTGATTTAGGGGGCAGTGAGACAGTATTTTCAAACAACCAATTTCTTGCTAAATTGTTGGTTGAATTTTTCATAGTGTAAATTTTTTGCCCGAGCAGACAGTGGCAACCCTTGAAAATCACGAGGTACCGATCACGCCCACCACCCCGCTGCTTCATCCGTTCAGCCAGGTTCGGCAGGAACCACCCAGACGTCGGCCTGGGTGCGTGCTGCGTGGGCGGAGTGGCACGGCACGGCACGGCGTGGCGTGGCGTGGCGCGGAGTGGCAGACGAGGAAACCACCGGCTCGGGCCATGCTGGGTACCGTTCGGCCCCTGGTTCGGTTCGGTTCGGTTCGGTTCGGCCAGTGCGATGCAAGCCGGCCTGATTGCTCTTGATTCCGTCATGGCAACGACCTGGCGGAGTCCTGCGAGTGCAGCACGAGCGGCGTGGCCGGGCATGGCGGCGCCGGCCGCAATAATCTCGCAGGAATAAGACTGAATTAGAAGGAGACGGCCGACGTCGTACAGTCCAGGCCACACGGCCAGGCCGGCCGGCGGCGACCCATAGCGTTTTTGCAGCTTGGGTTTCGCTCCGCAGCAAAGTACTATCCGCACTATCGTTTCGATCAATCAACACACAAATTTGCGAAAAAGAATTGCAACCGCTCTCAAAAGAGAAATGTCTCCCAAAGAGAAAGATCAAATCTAAACTGAAAATTGCCATGAAAAATAAGGTGATTGCAAATCCCACTGATGGTTTTCGCAAATTCGTAACCCCTTTTTAATTTTTTTAATTCGTCTCTGGACTCACCATAGTCGCTGCCCTCGTGCTCGGTGCCGTTGACGGTGCCGTCGGGCAGGATCTGCAGATGCCTGTTCCTCACGTACATCATGATCTTCCTGCCGGCGCCGGCGATGTGCGACAAGTTGGCGGAGCGCTCCGCGCGCGCCCCCGACTGTCCCGACGTGCCCCCCGAGGAGGGCGTCGCGAAGGTGTCCACGTCCGCGTCCACGCCGGCCGGCAGCGGCGACGGCAGCGGCGACGGCAGCACCAGGAAGTCGTCGACGCGGCGCCGCAGCGCCCGCCGCAGCCGCGGGGCGCCGAGGCCGTCCAGGTCGCCGACGTCGTCCAGGTCGCCGACGTCGGGGTCGTAGCTCGGGCTTGGCAGGCTCATGGCGCGGCGTTCCGTCTGCCCCGGCGCCACGGTGAGGCCCGCGGCGTGGCCCACGGCGTGGGCGCGCGCTCCGGCCAGGGCGAGGGTCAGGGCGAGGGCGAGCGTGCAGCGGGCGAACGAGTCACCCGTCACCATGTCGCCTGGACGGCCATCACCCGCCCGGCTCCATGCCGAGCATCACTCCACTAGCGCGTAGCGCGGCCATGTCCACCCCATGTCGCGCGGCATCACTCACACTCACACACGGCCCTGTCACTCTGTCACCCCCGCGCTGCCCCCGGGCCCGGCCGGCGCGTTCCTTGGCGGGGACGGCGGTGCGGCGGTACGGCGGCGTCGACGCGGTGCCTCGCCTCGTCGCGGGTTGATCAGCCGGCAGGACAGCCTCGCGACATACGCGATGCGTGCGCATCGGAGGTTCGAGCCGCACTGCCGGCATGGCTGGCTGGGGCTGGGCAGGCATGGCAGGCAAGGCTTGGCCGCCCGCCCAGCTTACCCAGCCCCACCCGGCGCGTCGCCCTGCTACCTCGCCCTGCCTCGCCACTCCCCCCCCCCCTCAACCCCCGGCTCTGCCCTGGCCGCTGGCTGCACCCCCCGCGTCGTCGTCCGCGTCGTCTGCGTCCCCAGGACCTGAGCCCTGGGCCTCACTCCATCGACGCATCGCTGATTGGTCACTTCTGCCGAAGAAAGCACCGGCCGCAATCCTCCAAACTGCGGAAACGGCGTTTTATGTAACACTTTTTACCCGCAGTGTGACACAGGTGCGTGCGAGCCCCGCCCCGCCCCGCCAGTCCGCGCCTGGTCACTAATGGACGCCGGCCTAGAACACTGCCAGACCGCTCCTGGAGGTGGCAATGCTGCGTTGGACGGAATCGTGGGCATTCCGACTCGCCGAGCTCCGCGCGCCGTCCCGTCCCGTCCCGTCCCGTCCCGTCCCGTCCCGTCCCGTCCCGTCCCGTCCCGTCCCGTCCCGTCCCGTCCCGTCCCGTCCTGTCCGGTTCGTACAAATTTGTGAGTACAAACGTACGAGATTGGAGACAAGAAGGCTCAGCCTGTGGCGGCTAATGGCTAATCATGCTGAAGTTTCCGCAGGCGCGTGGCTGGCCAGGCTGGCCGGGTGTGCACATCGTCTGCCTATCAGGGTGCTATCAACGACCGGGAGATGATCGTCTGCAGGCACTGGGCACTGTTACACGTGTGGCCGAGACGACCGACGTGTTCACCAAATCTGGGATCAAAAATCCTCTGGCGCGCACTTCTTTTAACGCGCTCTTGTTGTCGTTTTCGTCTGTTTGTTGTTTTTATTTTACAGGGGTTAATCCAATTTTATGACAGCCGCGGCAAGTGGGTCGCGACACAACGGGGCGCCATCGCCCTGTACTCTGATGCCTGCAGCCTCTCTCGCACCTGTACGGCGCGCCCCGGGAGTGCGAGAGAGACAGAGCGACGAGAACGACCCTCGGAATCAGTCCGCTGGACACTTTGACTGCGTGATGGCCGGTGACGCGGGAGAATTAGGGCGACATAAACGAGAGGCGTCCGCGTGCGCGAGCAGCGCGAGTCCGAGCCGATGGCCTTTCCCGAGCCTCTTCATTTCCCCCGCCGTAAAGGCCGAGGGCAGTAAGGCCGGCCGGCCGTTTTGGTGGTGTCGCACCGCGCCACCGCGCCCACGTCGTCGTCCTGCACTGCGAGGAGAACGACCGCCGCGCCGTCCGATTGGTCAAGAGTGTGAAGATTTCGGACGCTTGAAGTTCAGTTACTCCGACATCGAGCCTGTACGGATTGAAAACACTCGACCGCGGCGGCGACTACCGAAGTTCCGTCACTTTGTCCAGCACGCCGCTGTCCGCCGAGGTGTCCGGCGGCCACACAGTGTGCCACACAGCGTGCCACACACCGCCCCATAAAGACGGCGGACGAGCGCACGTCTCCGACGGCGTGGCGGTGCCACTAATCCAATCCAGCGGCCCTAAAAGACGCCCCGAAACGGACTCCGAAACGGTCGATCGGTCGAATTGAAAACGAAAGCAACGGCCGGGCCGTGGCGTGTTCCGTTCCCATGCCGCTTCCCTGGCGGCGGTGACGCAAAGCAGGCGACGCACGCTAAAGCACAACGCGCTCCCTTGAGCCGAAGGGAAGATTTCCGCGCGAAACGTTCGGTCTCGTGAGCGCGGCGGCGCGAATGCGGAGCCAGCCGTCGTCCGGGCTACGGTGGGCCTTCCCTGAGCCACCTCGGGCTGCCGGCGCCGGGTCGGATGGGTGGCCTACCTGCCAGGCGGCCGCTCCGTCACTGCCACGCCACTGCCACGGCGCGCGCTCCGATCCGAATTCGCCGCGGAACTTGTCCTCGGTTCGGTGTTCCGTTCCGTTCCGTTCCGCGTCGTGCACGGAGTTCACTCCGAATCGCCCACGAAACAGAGCGGCCGTTGTAGCGCCGCGCCAACCGTGCCACGTGGACGGCCACGTGTTGGCACGCACGCGCTAATGGGCGCGCTCCGTCTCTCTCGCACTCGAAGGGCGTGGCGTGCGGGTGCGAGGGAGACAGAGCGACGCAGGTATCGCCCTAACGGCCAGGGTGAAGCATGACAAAGCACGTCGGGTACCTTCCCGGCGCCACCCTCGCCGCCGCCGTTTTCTGCCTGTTTCTTATTCCACTCCACTGGAAGAGCGCGCAAATAACAAGGAAGGGTTGGGGGGGTGCGACGGAGAGGCTCAGAGGCGTGGAGCCGAGCCAAGTCCGGAGACGCAGAATCTTCTTACCTCACTTACCTCCCCCTCCCGCCAGATCTCGATCTAGGTCCTTGTCCTCGGAGCGCGATAGGGTGGAGGAAGGTGTCATATAAATGGAAAATTCAGCGGGCAGAGCCATGCTCGCTACCGCGAGGGCCGCGGACAAAAACATTGTATAAGATTCCCACATTAACATAATCGGGGAGATTACAAGCCTTTTATCGCTTCACAGTGGAGGGCCGCGCGATGACGTTTACGAGTCCTTAACACCTTTCGGGAGGGTTACATGCCGCAGGCCGAGCCGCAGGCTCGCATTCTGTCTCTCTCGCACTCGCGGGGCGTCGCGTAGGGGTGCGAGAGAGACAGAGCGACCTGCACACTCGCCCCGTCCGAGACACGCATCCTTATTTCATCCTTCCGAGGCGATGACGCGGATGACGCCTTCCTTGGAGGCGAGGACGTCGGGCGTGACTCGTCGTGACGCCACGTACGCACGCCCCCGCCGCGTCACGCGTGCGGCTGGCGCGGCGTGCCACGGCGGCGCACAGAGCCCTTCAGCTGTGAGGCGATGATAATAAAAATTTATGTAACGCTGCTTCTGCTGGGTGGCGGCTTGGCGGGTCGCGTTCGCGCGTCTCCCAGGTCTCCCAGTCTCCGCGGCGGCCTCCTTGGTCGTCCACCAAGCGCACGCGCTTCTTCGCCTCGTTAGGCACGCCTGGCGGACGGCGGCTGGCGGCCCCGTCAGAGAAACTGGTGTAAGTTGGCGGTCGGCTCGACGCAGATAGGCCGCTTGGCGTGCTGCAGGCTGGCGTGCTGCGACGCGGCCCAGAGAGCCCTAGAATTCTCTCTGCCTCCGCCGCGCCAGTCCGCCAGGCCGCCAGTCAGCCGAGGTGAGCTAAGCCGTTGACGCGTGACAGACACCCACACGGAGGAGAGGATGCACTCCTCTCAATCTGAACCCACTCGTTACGCGGTGCCAGCAGTCTGATGCCGAGAGTCCTTTCGGTCGCTCTGTCTCTCTCGCACCTACACGGGGCGCCCCATGAGTGCGAGAGAGACAGAGCGACGAAAACGACTCTCGGAATCAGTCTGCTGCGTCTCGGCGCACCTTCGCCTTTTCCGGTCAAAGATGAGCAGTCAAGATGACGGGTTCCCAAAAGAAGCGCCTTCCCGCCGAAACGGATTGCTTTCAGTCCTTTCGGCCGCCGCCTCGGACTGTCCGGCAGTGTAGTAACTTGTCCAGTGTAGTGGCGAGGTTCGAAAAGACAATCACTGTGGCTAACGGGGCAGCCAGAGGCACGCCGACGACGCGACGCGACGTGTGCATCATTCTGCACGTGCGCGACGACAGCAGGCGCGTTCCGGACAGAGTCGCTCTGTCTCTCTCGCACTCGCGGGGCGTCGCGGAGCGTCGCAAGCGGTGCGAGAGAGACGGAGCGGCGAAGTGTGGCGCGGAAGCATCCTGCAGGTGGTGCGTCTTTGTGCGCGGACTGCACGCGGCTTTCAATATTCACGCCGAGTGTTGTAACTCGGCGTTTGGGATACCCGCCCGGCAGCCAGCACGCTGCAGCACGCCAAGACCCTCGCCAAATGCCAAGGCGACGGCGTGGCGCTCGCAGCACGCCGAGGGTCGTCTGTCGTCTGTCGCTCTACAGAGCCTCAATCGGACCTCGATATCTCGAACGCGCTTCGATACCTCTGCCCATTTCGGTGCTGGATGCGAAAAACAGAGAGGGCGACAAGGGCGGCATGGGGCGCACCGTGGAAGGTCACCCACCCGGCCGCCCCGGCTGGCCCCGCCGCCAATAAGAGCGCGTCGGAGATGTTATCAGAAAATAGCAGAACGCCCGAGAACGCCCCGGGCGGGCCCCATGCATCTATGCCGCGCCATCCCTCTTCCTGATTCAAGGACGCAAGAACGCAGACCCCGTGCGTTGCGAGGGAAGTCGCCGTTCGCAGTCGCCACTTGGCGGTGGCACCATGGCGCCTTCCTCTCGAGCTTCATGGCCTTGCAAGCACATGAGCTTACACTACAAAATCACCACGCAAAGAATTTTCTTCTCGAATAGGTACCATCGACGCACCCATATATAACTCCCTCAATATTTCGCCAGAGAAGGTATTTCATGGATCGGCCCATCGTGGCCCAAGGGCTGCAAGGGCATGCAAGGGTCAATGAACCCGCGGTGCCTCCCAACTCCACACAAGGCGAGGGGATTTGTTCGAAAAACAAGCCGAGCGAGAAATCTTACACGCTGTGCCGGGGCATCAGACCGCAGCAGGGCCCACAAATGTCCTCTTTGTTTCCATTTCTGGCACAAATAAATATTTTCGCTTCCGTTCGCGCCAACCTCCGAATCTATTTGGGGGTCCTGCACACGGACAGTGTCACGTCACGCACACTGCCGCGAGGGGCAAGAGCTCTGAACACTGAGGAATGCCGCCACTGCCACAGCACTACAACTCGCTCATGAGTCCTAGCAGTGGGTGGCCCCTCGTCCGAATGTTTTAATGGACTTGTTTAATTCCATTCGGTTCGATTTGTGGGTTTTGTGGGTGGTGCGCCGCGGGTGACTAAGGTGTGTGTTCTGATTGGAGCAGTCCAGCCAGGTGGATCCAGGCCGATCCAGGCCCTTCGGACACGGAGCCAGTTTCACCAGCAGAATCCCGACTTGAGCCTAAAGCCCAGACCGCTCGACCTTTCTGTCATTGCAATCTTGCATCACACGTGGGCAAATTACTATCACTCCATCACTCCTCAGGAACAGATTTCTGATGACTGGAACAGCGGCGGCGGACCGGCGTCGCGGCCGGCTCCCCCCCCCCTCCCCCACCCACCACGAGTAGCGCGAGCGCGAGGCTCGCGAGCGCCCCCCTCCCCCTCCCACTCTCTCCCCCACCACTCGCGCCGCGCCACTGCGGCGCCGCGAGGGACGGCTTACGTGGAACGTGGTTTACTTTCAACGACCCCCTCTCCATCTGCCGAAATAGCTCAGTTGGGAGAGCGTTAGACTGAAGATCTAAATGTCCCCGGTTCGATCCCGGGTTTCGGCAGTTTCTTTTGAAGTATTTTCCGGGACGCTCTTGGAGTGGTTATGAGTTTTTTCTGCAGTCACTCGAGGCATGCTTGTGCGCTGCGCACGGTGGGACATTTATTTTTGCACGAAAGCCCTGACAGTTTCAGTTTCTGTAGCCTCTGCCCTCCTTCATTTATACCTTCCAAAAAGAGTTTTCAAACAAATCCAGTAAATAAGCGGTGTGCAGCGACAAGGAGGCGACCCGCGCCGTTTGAATCTTCGCGCGCCTCAGTCGAGGCAACCTGAAGGAAAACAATGCCGGGGCTTTTCTCATTGATTGGAGGACAATCATGTATGAAACTAAGATTTTTTTATGATTTGTTACGGGCTTGGCAGGCCCGAGTGCTCGTTGCACGTTTCATAAACTAAAAAATGTAAACCAAAAATAAGTATGGCAACAGTGCTGGAAGTCGACTTTCATTTGTCATCTTGTCGACTGCTGCAGAGGAGATTCAAACATGGCGTCCGTCAGGAGGTGCACTTTGCTCCTGGGGAGGTCTTTGGGACGGTATTTTGTCAGTCAGCGAAGTTTATCCACCAGAGTTAACACCGCCAGGGCAAGATTTCGACCTCACCATGCGGGAGTGCTCCTCGCTACGAGTCTGGTGGTGTACGCGGGGTCGAAAAGCTCCGACGGGTTCAAGCCGAAGAAGGTAAGTACTTGTCAGAGGGAAACGGTTCTAAAAATAAAATTGAGACTGAGACGAAGACAGCATTGTCAACAGGCTCTCTGGTTACTTTGCGCTGGTCTCGCCTCCCTGGACACGTGTCGAAGGGCGTCGTTCACGTGGAATCACCACCAGGGCACACCGTTATCGGCCCCGAATATGGGTTATGTTGTTTGTTTTTATTTGGTGTGACTTCATCGCGCAGTTATTTCTGTGCGTCAGAGGTATTGTGTTGACGTCCTCGTTCCGCATGCGTGGGACTTGTTTCTCTCCAGGCTTGTTTTTTTCCCCGTTTTCTTGCTCCACCACTTTTTTTAGTCAGATTTACTTATCGGACTTTTGAGAATTCTGAGAGTGCTCATTCATTTGAATTAAAAATTGGTCTCTTGTTTAATTGTTAGCAAAGAGAGAACAAAATAACCAGCTCTTGGGATCAATCACTATCAAATGACTGAGTTACGCTTATGTAGGTCAGTCATGAAATCAACAAACCAATCTGTTTTCTTGGATGCCAATAAATAGGGTCTAGACTCCTCAAAATGACTTAAAAACTTTGGACAAGGGTAAAATGGAATTTTCTTTCTATTTTTTAAAAATGTTTATCAAGTTTGAATTGAGTAGTCTTGATAAGCTGCACCAAAGGGGACTGAATCATGGCAGGTGCTAAAAATGGGCAGCAGTACATTTCTCCATTGACGTGTGCATTTAACACTGTGCGCCGCGTGATGCCTATCCTGAGGCGTAGCTATTGTTATAGCGGCTGGACCACAAACGGAGGACACTGGCGGGTCCCACGGCCAGACTGCGGGGCTGCGGGGGCTGTGGGGCCGGCGCCAGTGCTGCCACTTGCTTGATCGTCTGAACGGTTTGCTCTGGCGGCCATTGACGCCCTGCTGCAGGGCGTCATGCAGGACGTCATGGAGAGCATGCCGAAGGGGCTATCGGCAGCACCCTTGCAGCTGTCCACCGCGTCACCGCCGAGACGACCCAGACGACGGCCAGAGGGTAGACACGCGCCGGGATTTGAGCGCCAAGCCGGCAAGCCCCCACGTGACGTTGGGTGTCAAAGGCGTGACGGGCGGGCTTCACGTCGGGGCCCCGCCCCGCCCCGCCCCGCCCCGCCCCGCCACGCCACGCATCCCACAGAAGCGAGGCGTCGACACCCTTTCTGCCTGCCCATCGGAATGGGGGCGCCGCAGGAAATGACAAGTTGGCTCCGCTTTACATGAAGGACATGAAGCTCGGAGCCCCCCGCTGCGAGGCCTTCGGTCCCTTGGTCCCGTCGGCCGGCTGGTGCGGCCCTTGTGGCCCGCATGCGGCCTCAGCGCCAAGGTCCTTGGCCGAGCCCCGAGCCCTTGGCCCTAGCCCAGCCTATGTGGGCCACCTTGTTTTGGGCGATGGCTGGCGATGAGTCCCCACCCGGCCATGATCTTATCGAACTCTGGTCTCGTCCCGTCGGGCTGGCCCTCGGACCAAGGCGCGGCACAGCCACAGCCAGACCAGCGATCCCGGGGGATCTTTTCGTCGCCCTGTCTCACTCGCACCCCTACGGGACGCTCCATGAGAGCGAGAGACAGAGCGCCGCCGAGTGTGGCACTCTGCGACGACAACGAGGGTCTCGTAATTTAGGGAAGCTTGCACTCGCCCTGTCTTGCCCTTGATTTGTCGCCGGCGAGCTTGGCGTTGGGACTCCGGGCCATGCCCTCCGCTAGCCGCTACGCCAACGCCACACTGCGTGTCACTTGCGTTACCACGTTACCGCGTTATAGATCGCTTTTATCTCGTGTCGAATTTGCCCCGTCATATTTGCTCCGCGACATCCAGAAGAGACGAGATAGGGATGTGTGCGTTCTCGTTTACCTACGCAGCACGGAGCTGAGGATGCGTTACATGATGCGCGAAAGCCATCCCGAAAAATCGTTTCACCGCTCTGTCCCTCGGGCAACCCTACGGAGCGCCCCACGTGCGTGCGAGCGGCCTGCCTCCCTGCACTGCAACCCCCAGAAGGCCCAACCGCCGTCAAAGTCGGCTGGAGTCTGGAGAAGAGAGACGCTGGAATTCCCTTGCGCTGCCCAATGTCCAGCGTGCCCAGCTCCAGGACTGCGCTGCCGCATGCTGCCAGCCACCAGCCATGCCAGCGCGGCACAACGGGCTTATCGCGCCAAGCCGCAACGCCGCAACGCGTTGCAACCAAGGCACGCCACGGCACTGTTAGTGAGGAGGGTCAGTGCCACACATGGCGATGCGAGGGGAATGCTTTTGCGTTGTTTCTGCGTTTCGTCGTCTCTCTCGCCTGTTTTCACAAACCGAAACACGGGGCGCCACTGTCCGATTCCTATTTGGTTTTATGGCCCCTTCTGGCCCTTCTGGCTGAAAACCAGACTCCCTCCAGACGCTCGTCGGGATTGCCGCGGGGTGGGCGGCCGGTTGTTTTCCCAGCTTTCCTCTCCGTCTGTATTTTTTGGAAAATACGTATGACTCGAAACTCCCTCCCCCTTGTCACAGCTCGTCACTGGCGTCACAGTACCCAGGACCCCGACGTGTTTTATCCTCGTCCCACCAGGCTAGGAAAGGGGGGGAGGGGGAGGGCTATGCAAATGTGGCCGTCGTGATGCCGTTCCCATGCCCGGCCAGCCACTGCTTACTACTTCCTAATAGTTCGTCTGGCGTCGTCAGGGCTGTAAAACGGCGACACATAAATGTGACGCGACACAGCAGTGTGTCTGTGTGTGTCTGTGTGATGGGTGTGATGCTTACACGACCTGCCCCACTTGACGAACGCGCCACCATGTTTGGCATTTATCGCTGAATTTTCAGCAGCTTGATTTGGTGCAAAGCGCTCAAACTGCAACATAAGTTCCAAGTTCCAAGCGCTGTTTCCCGTCGTGCTCGTTGGCAACGGATTGTTGCTGGCTGGCCATCCCTTCACTCCCTGCCACCCTCTGCGCAGGCGCGCTCTTGGGGAGAGGGGAGGGAGGGGGCGGTGCTGGAGGGAAGCCTGCTTTGTGAAGTGGTGGGGGGCCTCCGCACGATGGCATTACACGCTACGTCGTCTCCCTCCACGAATCCTCGGTAGTATAGTGGTCAGTATCCCCGCCTGTCACGCGGGAGACCGGGGTTCGATTCCCCGCCGGGGAGGATTCTTTTTCATCCGGATTGGCACTTTTGAAAAGTTTCTTTCGACTTAAAAGTCGTTTTGGTCACTTTTATTTCTGTACAAGACCTCAGACTAATTATCCTGCTGTGTTTTCCCGTTATGTGTGCTGACGTGATTTTCAAAATAAAGGATGACCTGCACTAACTACCCAAGTTGTGCATCTTGTTTTGCGTTTCATTTCAAAATGAATCTATGATAGAATTTCTTGGTACTGCAAAAACACGGGATACCCCTGGTGGGACTCGAACCCACAATCCCCGGTTTAGGAGACCGATGCCTTATCCATTAGGCCACAGGGGCTGGTAGTGGTGGGAGGTCGTACCGCGTGGCACATGCCGCGTCAGCGCTGCGCCTGCGCACTCTCACCCTCTTGGTCACCGGCAAACGGCGCGAAAAACAAAGGACCCGAATACACTGACATTCTTAGTCTGGCTTAGTCAAGGAAAAATTTAAAGAGCTGACTTAGGTTAAAGAGAAAGAGCCCACGCTCCTTCCTTGGTCCTTCCTGCAGTTCGCCTAATTCGCAATTGTCACTGTTTCAGAAGGAAGAAGATGCATTTGCTGCAAAGGCTGTAAAGCTTACATCTCGGGAACGGCGATTCATTAAGTTCGCATCAGTTCAGTATGATGGCCAACTTTACATGACTCCTCAAGATTTCCTGGAATCTGTTGTAGAACAGGAACCTCGGCGTAAGTTATTTATGTTGTTAAAATGGTCTTAATTATTTTTTATACAAAAAAAAATTGTCCTATCAAATTATTTGTATTTTCTTTGCCTAGCCCGTCTGAAGCGACGTACTCTAACTGATAAGGATTTGGCAGCTCTTAAAGATGCTACTCCACCTCTGAAGAAAGGTTCCACTCAAATGTTCCGTAGCCTCCGAGATAAGGGTAAATTTGTATTTTATTTTTATTGTGTTATTTTATAATTTTTTTTAACCTATTAACTTGTTTTTTTTTTTTTTTTTTAATCTGAAATGGCAGGAATAGTTTCATTCACTGAGTATCTATTTCTGCTCTCAATCCTAACAAGTAAGTAATTTTCAGGCAGAAAATACAAGTGTTTGGTAAACTTTTAAACCATTATCCTTTTTGTTTCAGAACCTCAGTCAGGCTTCCGTATTGCATTCAACATGTTCGACACTGATGGAAATGAGCGAGTAGATAAAAATGAATTTCTTGTGGTGAGTAATGTCAATACTGTTCTCTGGTCTTAAATTTAGTTCACCTTTGAAATTTAGCTCATCCTTTGAAGGACCACAAGTGCAGCATTAGATTTGATTGCAACTGCTATGTAGCCAAATTTTCTTTTCAATTTATACTGGACGAAAGTGAAAATCTATTGAGACTCTTGTTAGTTGCAGAAAGCTTTAGTATTAGGTCTAAATTTAGCATAATGTTTAAAGTAGGGTAATTGGTATGCATTTGGACAATAGTTTGGAATGCCACCCTCGGCATGTGTATGAGGGCAGGTGAAACTGCTAAGAAACGCAATGTGACTGCCTTATTTATTTCCTACAAAATAAGTTAGAATTTTATTTTTATGACTCCTATTAGCCACTTGTACTTATTTTTTCGTATAGTACCTTGTACTTCATAAAAAGGTAAGGAAAAATGAGTATCAATCACATGTGTTGCACAAAGCAGATTCGGAGACTATTTAGCAGCGGCAGAATTTCCAAGGAGCGTATGGAAGATGAAGCAACGCGAAAGGCTGTGAGTTTGCTGCTCAGTGTTCAAAGCTCATTCATCTGCTGTTTGCATTTGCCCATTAACTATTATCTCCAGCCTTCTGCACAATGATTAGAAGTGCCAAATCAATCTTACTTGCATATCAAACCTTCACCTTTACTAACCAAAAATGTATCTGCATTTTGTGCTTCTTTGCAGTTACAATTCCCAAGTGTTCTCTTTGTTTTGATTGATTTGATTTTCTGTTTGGAACTTATCTGTTATGTAATGTTGATTAATTGACCGGCTCAATGTGTTTCTGATGTTAAATCTCGTTTTTATTCTGAACATTTCTTAAGGACTAAGCTGCGAATGTTCAAGACCTGTTTCTAAGACTCATTTACTATCCCGTACAGCAGAGATTGTTTGTGCCAAAATAAAAAACAGGCGGCTGTGCTGTTGCAATGCATTCCTTTTCTCTCAAGCCTCCATTGTCTACATTGTGGCTGTGCTTTTATTCTTGCTTCAATCCAATGGGTAAAATAATTTGTGATAGATACATAGATATAGAATTCAGGCATAGTTCAGCCTTGTTTATAAGTATGTCTTAGTGGTACACAACTTTTCATCTTGCCATTCAAGTGTATCAATCATGAGTATCAATCATAAGATTTTCCTGAAATTCCTTAACTGAGAAGCAGGATAAAAATGTTGCCCTTCAGCGCACTCACTTTGTTTGACAAGTGTCTGATTTCTTTTAATAGATGGAAAAAATCTTCAGCCATGCTTGGCGCGACAAACGAGGCTTACCAACTGAGGAAGAAGCTGATAAAGGGAAAGCTAAAAATAAAGAGAATGCAACCGGTGAGAAGAAAGAGGGTCAAGGTGCTCAAGCAGACTCAGATTATGTTGATGATGAGCAAGGTCTTCAAAGACGCCACTTGGTGGACACTACACTTACCATTCACTTTTTTGGCAAGAAGGGAAAGGATGAGCTCAGATTTGAGGGCTTCCGCAAGTAAGTATATCTTATTGTTGCTCAAATAACAACTTGATTATTGGTTTGTGATAGTGTTCAAAAATTAAAGGCGAGAAAAATCTTTTGCAGGTTTATGGAGAACCTCCAGACAGAGGTGCTAGAGCTGGAATTTCATGAATTCTCAAAGGGAGCTGAAACGATAAATGAAGTGGACTTTGCAAAGATTATGCTGCGTTACACTTACCTTGATACTGACAAGTAATAATGGCTATAATCAAAGACTTCAATTTTCCTATACTGTTAATTTCGATGCTTGGAAAATACAATTCTAATTTTTATCCCTCCCCTGCAGGTATGATATGTACCTTGATCGACTTCTTGATAGGGTTAAAGATGAAAAAGGGATTACATTTGAGGAGTTCCGTATATTTTGTCAGTTCTTGAATACCTTGGACGACTTTGTCATAGCAATGCGTATGTATACATTGGCTGATCATCCGATTTCTAAAGGTAAATTAAGTCTTTCCTCTCTTTGACCAGCTAACTTGCAAGAATTCAAGGTGTTATGTGTTCTCTTTTGTTTTATTATTTTTCCAGATGAATTTCACAGAGCAGTGAAAATATGCACTGGCACCAGTTTGAGTCCGCACCTGGTACATACAGTATTTGCTCTCTTTGATGAGGATGGAGATGGTTTACTAAGTTATCAGGAATTTATTGCCATTATGAAGGACCGTTTGCATCGTGGTTTCAAGGTATGTATTATACTTTTTATGTTATATTTTGTAATAATTTGTGCAAAAAAGCCCTAGTCCTTCAAACTACTTATAAAATCATTCTTTTCAGTCTCATGCTAAAAATGAAGGCTATGAGGCATTTAAGGATTGTATAAAACAAGAACTGAAGTCCAACACATAACTTAGCCAAGAAATGCACCCATGGGTCTTAATATGTCTTATTCATCATTTTCTTGAGAGTTAATTTTTATTTAATGTACTTCATTTTTAAATATTTTTTCCTTATTGTTACTGTTGCTTGAGCAGGAGGGTGTTCTAGTCAGAAGCCATAAGAAAACTTCAATACCTCCTCCTTGTGACAACACTTTTAGCCTGTTGTGGGTGATCTTAAGAGATTGGAATTTCAGTTTTAACTACAGTATTTTGTAATGACAAGTTTGATATCAGACCAGTAAAATCTATCAGTGTCATAGATACTGGAGGATGTCCTTCCTGTGACCTCTTTTTGATTCTGCAGATGTGCTTAATATTTATTATATGTCCGATTTTGTAATAGTCAAGTTTTGAATAGATGCCACAATCTGTGATATCTTTGATGTTAACGTTTTCTCAGTGCCGCTCAGTATATGATTGCAATTTGTTGCACTTCTGGTAATGTAGCTTGCTTGATATGTAATCTGTGTACTTAAATGTGTATTGCAAGCTTCAGAGAGGCTATTTTATGCTAAGTACAAGGGGTGCCCCACCACCATAAGTGACTCCAGACTTCTCTATGCTAGTCTATTTTGAAGGTTTTCTGCTCTGTGTCAGAAGAGAATGGTGGTTAGTACTGAGCAACAATGAAGTTAGGTGATCATAGAGATTGCCAAATGCTTAGAAAATTTTAAGATTTGCGCCATTGCCTTTCTCATACTTTTGTGAGTCCCATTGCCATTTTTATTATTATTATTTTGTCAAGCCTGTGCCATCAATTGTTTTATGTTCTTTCAAGACTTCTAGATGAGTTGATACTCCATTGTTTTAATGCATCATTTATTTTCTCCATTTTTGTTAACGTTCAAAAATTACATTTTTCTTTTTGCTTTGGCAAATGTAGACAAAAAAGATGAGTTTTCTGAAGCCTAATAAAGACAAACTTTTGCTAAAGAGAATGAAACAAAATTCATAATTACAGAAGATCACAATTCCTCAAACATCAAGATTAGCATCTCACAAAGTGCTAATGCCGACCTACCCACACCGTAAATTATCGTTAAGTACCAGAAGACCCTACAAGCAATACTGTTTCACAAAACATTCTAAAAAATAAATTTTAATAAATATGTTATTTACCTGTTGCACAACAACATATCTTAAAAAGAAACAAATAACCTTAGGGTCAATGTAAATGCCTAGTTAATAAAATTTAAAACTATCAGTATGTACATTTTTACACATTCAGAGAATACTTGCCTTCTGCAACATGAAGACTCTCAGATTTGATTTCCATGATAAAAAGAACATAATTACCAATGCAGGTTCCCAAGAAAGTTTCAACTTGCAAACAGAAGGGCTTTGCACTTCACACAGCCTCTAAGTATTTAAAAAAAAAAAACACATTTGGGATTGTACTTTTTAGCATCCTGGTAATGACCTGCAATCAAAATACAGAAGTTAATGTAAAGCTACAAGATAGTGTTGAGTAAGATAAGGTTTTAAAAACAATACAACTTACACATGGAAATTTGAAGTAGGTTCAGCTAGTTTATACCGGACTAAAAAGTTTGCTAGCACTTCAGCCACTCTTTCAGGTACATCTTCATGCACTGCATGACCACACTGAGGCAAAACTTGCATCTGGAATTTTCCTGCAAAATGGCACATTTAATAAAATAGATTTAACCGAGGATTTAACACAGAGTGGAAATAGAGCACTTATTCAACATATGATAAATTTTTACCTTGCATTTGCCCTACTGTGAGTTCTCGGTCCAATCTGTCTATACCAGCTAACAATAGCATTTTGGGGCAGTTCACACTCAAAAATCTGGATGACAGGCCTTGGAACCACCCTGACCAATGCTTTTCAGTTCGTGTGAGGTCAATTCGCCAGGTATATAGAGCAGCACTATCCACCTGTAAACAGACAAAATAAAAATTAGAAATGATAAGCAAATCTGGCACTAAAAGATAAAGCATCAGAATAAATCATACAGGAGGAAGCACTGGTGGGGCTTTGAAATCAGGAGATGACTCATCCTCCTCTTGTATACTATCACTTGCAGATTCCTTCTCAGGAAGTTTATCTGAAGATCCCTCTTGTTGCTCAACATTTTCTGAAATGTCAGAGGTAGAGAGCTCTCCAGTTTTAATGCTGTAACAATAGAAAAACAAGGTTGAAAATGTTCAAAAGCAATGATCTCCTTTAAAAAAAAAGGTATAAGGGGTATGCTTACTTTCTTAACTGTCCAGGCATTGATACCTTGGCAGATTCAACATTTCGAATTTGTCCAGTCCGAACACTATAGGAACAAGAATAATGAGATATACTTCCTGACGTAAAGAGAGGGGCCTTAAAATTCTAGGAAAGAGACATAGAAGCTTACCACCACTCAATGGCCTGTTCTAATGAACGGAAGTTCTTTGGCCTTCCTCGCAAAAAGCTTTGCATACTGGTTAGCGCATCCATGGCAGTGCCCTCTACAACGTCAATGACTGCTAAGCCTGCCAGTCCAGGAATGAAATCCTCAGAAGCTGCCCTAACAGCCACAGCTCCTCCCATACTATGTCCCATGAGAACAATGGGTGGAGCATCACCCTCCAAACTTCCATACAAGGCATGAAGTACATCTCCAACATCCCTAGGACAATACAAAAATTTGAATGGCACTGATGCCACAGTTTTTAAAAAGGAATGTCACTCCTAATATTCATAGTTCCTCTAACTCACTTTGCCATAGTAAAACCAGACAAATCTTCATCATCTTCAGTGCGAGTGTTTCCATGTCCTCGAATGTCCATAGCTAGTACCTGGCATTCAGCCATAGAGGTAACAGAGGCCTGAAAGTTAAAGTAATTATAAAGTGGAGGAAAAGAAGGTCCAATAACGAATGAATGAAAAATTGTTAACCATACCGCAAACAACGACCAGGTTAGAGCTGAAAACCCGCCACCGTGCAGAAGAAATAGGACAGGCCCAACAGAGCCCAGTCGATAGACTCTAAATGAGTTTCCGTTGACACGAACATCTTCGCAACTATCAAAATACTTGCTGAATGGCACTGGTGTGTAATTTTTCTTCCTGCTCTCCATAGACCTAAACAAAACCAAAGGCAACCAGTTGCTCAAGAAACATTATAAGAGGCATAAGACATAGAATCAAAACATCAAATATGCTACATTACACACAAGTTTTTAAAACATGAAAATAAGACATACCGTCCTGTGCCTCGCATATTATTAGGTATTCTTGGGGGCAAGCCTGATTTTAGCAAGTTCTTGTGCAGAGATGACATCTTTGTAGTTTCACAGTGCTTAACTAAATATTTCAGAAAAGCACTCGCAGATTCTTCAGGTCACTAGTTTTGTAAGCAGTCAAAGCAGAAACAAACCTGATATGTTTTGAGTTAGCACACCCTTTCCCCTTCCCTCCCCTTCCCCCCTCACCGTCCGGCTGTCAGGCAGAGATCAATGTGTGAACTGTATTGATTGATGGAAGGCGACGGTTTATGTTTTGATTTTACGTCTTGTTTTCGTCAGCTGATGCAGAACTTAGGTTATTTGAAGTTTAAAATTAAAATAGACTGAATTAAAGTTTGGCATGTGCCTAACAGCAAGATGAATACTGGGTCCAAACTTGATATTAGCAAATCTTCTGTAAGGATCACTATCTTTGTTTGTTTTAAGATGAGAAAAGGATGTTATACCATTATGAGTTGTGTATGTTTCATTGTGAATGAACTAATTTGATTTATTGCATTACAGTTGCTAAGCCTCCAGGCCGAACTTGCTAGAAAACGTGAAGAAGCTGCAAAGTCAAAAGCACAAGCTCAAGGAAACTATATCAAACCTCTCGCCAAGCCAGCAAAGAATTCCATTTTCAGTCGATCGAATGCAGGATTAGAAAATCGACAAGCAAATGATGTTCATGATTTGGCTCCGGATGAGGAATCAAAAATAAATAAATCCAGGTAAAGCAACAGATTTTGTTGCCGCAGTGACCTTAGTTTGGTTTTTCTTGTAGACTGTTACAATCTTACTTCCCTTCCAGATCTATCTTAGAAAAAAAGGCGAAACTTTATGACAGTCTCTCAAAGAATTCCTCAAATCATGAACAATCAGATTATTTAGTAGACTTTTCTGGGAAGGCAAGTGATGATAGACAGTCCTATGGTCGTGATTCACCAGATGATGCTGAGGAAAGACGCAGGAGAGAGAAAGAGGAAGAAGAGGAGGAGGCCAGGAGGGCAGACAGTGATGAATATGACGCACCATCAGACCCAGAAGATGATTGGTAAGTTCTTTGATCCAAGAGCATCTGAACATCGCCCAGTTTATCTTTAGGTATTGATATTCTTCACTTTCATGCTCTACTATGTACTTCCAGGGTTGACTTCAAAGACTCTTTAGGACGAACTCGACGCTGTTTGCGACGTGACCTTTCTCGCTTTCGGGAACTGGATGATCGCCTTTTGAAATCCCTAGAGCCAAAGACTCCCACTGTTGAGAGAGAATCTCCTCCTCCTGGGCCATCACCCCCTGCTGGACTTCCCGCAGGATGCGCTGCTCCAGACCTCTTGTCGGATGATATGAGAAGAGAGCAGCAGCGTTTGAAATGGGAAGAAGAGGAGCAAAACTTGCGGGATAAATCGGACATTCATTACCAGGATGTTCTGTTTGAAGGTAAGTGCCAACTATGTATATATAAACCTTTAATTCATAAGTATTGGCTCGGATCATCGTATCTTTTTAAAGACAAAGAGTGAAGAAAATAAGGTAACTCTTTGAATTTTCAATATTTTTATTAATTTTTCTTTACGAGTAACATTCTTACTGTAACTACGCAAATAAAAACATAAAGCTGAAATGACTGAGTAGAACAAAGCCAAACTTGGGTTTTACACCAGGTTTTTATTTTTTTTTATCACTAGCCTTCTAAATTAGAGAACTAACTTAATGAACTTAGACCAACATCACCTAATGGCACCTCATACCATTTTTTTTTTTTTTCGTGCCAGTGCAAGTACGAGTATTGTAACTTTCAAGACATCACTTTCAATCAAAAAAAAAAAAAAAAAAACAACAACAAATGAAACAGAAAAATTGTGTTTGGCTGACCTATGCCGTAGATAAATTAATACACATACATAATACATAATAATAATTTACATTAATCACAAGAAATTACTTTGAGGCTTAAGATACATGGAAAGTTTTTCAAACTGAGGTATATACATATGCATGAGAAAAACTGTCTAGTTTTATTATTATCCAAGTGCAAGGAGAATTGGGGGCAGAAGAGATCAAAGGGATCTATCAATGTTTAGGGTTGGAATATATTCAATGTATGCTCCACAAATAAAGTATGAGTATGCATTACGGGTCCTCAAAGTTCTAGGACTGAGTATTGTGTTCGAAATAAAAACTAAGACTAGTTCATGACGCCAGCAGTGTGCTTCTTGGTGCCATCTGGGGTGGTGCATTGTTTTGTACTCGCCATCCGTGGCACTGAGCACAGGTGCCCAAGAAGGGGAACCCTCAAGGTCACAGCCGTCCCCCTTTTTTTGGCAGCGTTTTTTTCTTCCAAGGGGTTGCAAAGATACACAGGCGCGTAGGGTCGCTAATAATTCTCAAAAAGAAGGGTGGTACCCCCAACGCCCCCCGACGCCCCTAGTGGGCGGCATCGACTCTCCAGACGCGCAGCGCCACGAAGAGCGCCCCCAGCACGCACACCACACTGCCGTGAGTGCGGCGCGCGTCGCCGGAGCCGCTGCCACTGCCGCTGGCCTTGCCGGTGGCGTTGGTGGTGGTGTTGGCCTCCAGCGTGATCTCGATGCTGTCCTGGGACGAGCTGCCCCACTCGAGGTCGTCGCCGGGGGCGAGCGTGGTCGTGGTGGAGGAGACCGTGGCGGTGGACGCGGGGTCGGACCGCGCCGTCGTCACGGCTGGCGGCTGCCTGCTCGTGACGTCGCAGTCGTCGGTGAGGTCGGGGAGGTCGCCGTCACCGCTGCCGGCCGAGGCGTCCTCGACGGCGGCGTCCTCGTCGTCCTCGGGGGCGCGGCGCCGCTTGAGGGCGGCGCATCGTAGCTGCCGCATCTCCGCCTCGGTCTGCGCGTTGCAGAGGCGGCCGCTGCAGTAGCAGTACACCACCCCGTTGGCCACCCCGCAGGGCTCGTAGGCGCGCTCCGCGCACGTCCTCGTCAGCGTCGTGCCTGCGGAAGAAGCGGAGCCACCTTGTTACACACCCGCCGCTCCACTGTAAGTCTGAATCGAACTGGCCTTACCGTCGAACTTGGTGAGGCAGCCCTTGTAGTCGGCCGGGCACTCGCGGGGCAGCCCCAGGTCCGGCTCCGGCTGGCACTGCGGCGGCGGCGGCTGTCCGGCGAACAGGGCGCGGTGGTCCCGGTCCTCACCGCCACACACGTGGCAGTGGACCCTCTCCGACATCATCGGGACTGGAACGGGCGAGACAGAAACATTGAGTGCTGCATCCAGGCCGTCCTGGCTGTCATCTGGCGGGGTTGCGGCGTCGGCCTTCCCTCGGCCTGCCGCGTTGTCGATATGCCTGTGAGTGCAATGACAGGCAGACACGACCAGTCCCCGAGTGGGAGTCGAGAGGCCGTCCTTCCCTGTCCAGCAAGCGCTGCTGTCCCTCTCTCTCGCACTCGTGGCGAGCATGGTGCGTTCCGCAGGGGAGCGAGAGAGACAGCCCGGTCGGAATCAGCCCAGCCCGGTCCTAATTGAAACCGATGGGTCCATGTGAAGCAAGAGGCCATCCGCGTTATTTTCGGACTTGCCTACCTTTTGCGAGTAGGGTGGGGCCTTTGTGGCCACCTTCGCTGGGAGCGTGCTGGAGGCATGCTGGGAGCGAGTCTACTTTGACGTGCCTGCCGGACCGGGGCGGGGGTCGCCCCTCGCCCCCCTCGGAGCTTCCCTCAGCGTGTCACCGGCCCCGCCCCGCCCCGCCCCGCCCCGCCCCGCCCCGCCCCGCCCCGCCCCGCCCCGCCCCGCCCCTCAGTGCGGCGACTTATTTTGGGCGTGTTGCAGAGGTGTGCGTGGGCGTCGGATGCGCCGTTAAACGACGTTGGATCGCGGGGGCGTGGCACGGCGTGGCGCGGCGCGTGCCGCTGTGACTCACGCGTGCTGCTCTGGCTCTTGTCGATGATACCCGCGCCAAACCGCACCGCAGCGCCACACCGCCGCCCTGCCCGTAACATGACCAAGACCCCCTCGACTTGGCAGCAAGTCTCGCCGCCACGCCGCCCGCCTCGGACCGCGTCTCGGACGTGCCGTGCGGGAGATATGCAAAGAATGTTATTGAAGAGTTCAAGAATGCGGCCGGCGGGCCGGCGCACGCGTGTTCCGGAGATGGGGGTGGCACCGCACGCCGTCAAAGGAGAGAAAAAGGGGAGGGTGTCCACTGTAATCTTGGCCTGCTAGGTCCTTGGGAAAGTCACCAGGCCGCCAAAGCTCCCTGCCATCGTTTCCACTGTTTGCATTTTCTCTCCGATTCGGCCTTGCAGAAAATAAAGAACTGCCCCTTGCTGGTGGCCGGGTACGTACAACAATGTGCAGACAAAATTGGAACGTGGCTGCCCCTGGCTGTCGAACTCGTGTTGTCAGGACTTTTGTTTTGTTGGAGCGAGGGTCATCTGATCTGGCGACCCCCGCGGGCTGCTCCTCCACCGCCAGGCCGGGCCGTAATCAATTTGACTGGCGGGGCGGGGCGGCTGGGACTGGACCTCTGCGCTTTGCTCCCATTGCAGCAGCACGCAAAAAAAGAAAGAAAAAGGGGAAAGAAAAGAGGTTAGGGCTGGCGCCCGCTGCCTCCTACACTATCCGTCATCGCGCTTTAATCGACTGGCCTCAATGCTGCATTGTCAAAAAACGTTCAATCGAAGTGAACGGAATTAAGTTGATTTTGTTGAAGAGGAAAGCGGCAGACTTGTAGGAGCACAGGGCGCGCGCGTCGGCCGGAGCGGCCGGTGAGAGCACGGTGCGCCCTGCGCCTGCGGGCAGGCCGACTGCTGACCCGGCGGACAGCCGGGCGCTGCGGGCAGTCCAGTGGCAAGGCGCTGTAGTGCTCCTCAGCCTCGGCCTCCTCACTCCGCTCCACTGCCGTGTCATCCTTCCACCTGTCTCTCTCGCACCGCTACGCGACGCCCCGCGAGTGCGAGAGAGACAGCTTCACTCCGTTTCGAGTGCCTTTCCTGCGAAGTCCACTAGTCGAGACGCCGGTTTTCGCACTCGCAGTGGAGGCGACGCCCGACGGGGAATTCCATCCTCTCTCGCAGACTGATTCCGAAAGTTCGTCGCCCTGTCTCTCTCGCTCTGACGAGGCGTCCCGTATCGGCACGAGGGAGACGAGACTCTGCAAGGCGCGCGCGTTCTCTCTCTTTCTCTCTCGCTTCAAGTCTTCCAGGGATCATAAAAAGAAGCTGATTACTCGACTGGTGACTGGGAGCGTAAGCGCGTAGCTAGTAGACCAAGGGACGGACCCGCGATGAGGTCATGCAAAACTTATGAGTCGACTAAGAGAAACTGGACAACTGTTGTGCCGTGCCGGTGTTTCACGGTGCCTTATGCCCACGCCGGCTGATTCCTCACGGTACCTTCTCTCTCGCACTCACGGGGCGCCGCGCAGCAGTGCGAGAGAGACAGGGCGACGGAAGCACTGGACTGGATCGCGCGCTTTGGTCGGCTTTGGCTTTGACGCATTCCGCGGGGAAGTCCTCGACGTCACCGTCACGCCGACACCGTAAAGTGCATGCCGGATTACGTTGCCAGTTAGGCCTCTCTCTCTCTCTCTCTCTCTCTCTCTCTCTCTCTCTCTCTCTCTCTCTCTCTCTCTCTCTCTCTCTCTCTCTCTCTCTCCCCCTCCCTTTCTCCCACCTCCTCCCGGGATCCATTTTGGCATTTTATCCGCCCCTGTCGGTTAGCCTCGACGGCGGGTGCGGCTGGAGGCGGCGGGGGGTCAAAAGTTTGTCCCGTCGCGTCGCGACCGAGGTGAGGGGAGGGGAGGGGGAGGGAAAACCAAACCTAGACCGGACCAGGGGCAGGCCGGCAGGGGTTTATCCCGTTCGCAGTTTGATGAAGGCGGCCCATTGTGGCAGGGATCGGGCCAGCCCGAGGGCCAGCCAGCCCCCCGCCCCGCGGGACATGCCGGAAGACCAATCAAATCCAGCAGTGAAAACTAAATTTCATCTATTTACAGTGCACTCGTTGGACAGTGACGACACACGCTCGTTCCGTCTCCCCTCCCCCTCCCCCGCACGCCCCATAAAGCTAAGACTGATTGAACGGCCAAATGGCCGAATGCCTTGTAATTGCTGGAGACCTCATTGCGGCTGGACGGGGCTGAGAGAGGGAGGGAGAGAGAAAAAAAAAAAGAGAGAGAGAGACGACCGTTCTTTACTGTCGGATCGATGCTCGTTTATTTATGATACAACCCTCTCCCTCTCGTCGTCCCCTTTCACTCCTTTTCTCAGTTTAGCCCGGTTTAGGTTTAGCCCCAGGGAAGCAGCGAGCCCGAAAGCCGGCTAGTCAGGCCAGCCCGACCATCCTCGTGTGGGCAGGTGAACATCCATTTAACGAATGTCTCTAAATGAACTTTTCCCTATAGAAAAGACTTCCCACAGTATAAAAAACAGAAAATTAGTTTATTTTTTTAAAGTAGCAATCTAAAAACATCAAAGATTTTTTAAACTGTTTTTAGCCTCACTATGGAAATGCTTAGTATAACTATAAACATCAGCTACCCTCGTCCAAAAACCCTATAATTTTTAAAAATTATTCTTGGCATTGTTTGTTCTTGTCCCACTTCCCTCCTCCGGCATCGCCACCCTCCGTCGCCCCTCTCGCGCCCCCCGTGACCCGTCTGGTCTTTTTTTAGACCTTTTGTGTCAACCACCCATGGACGGCCTTGAAAAGCGGCGGGCGGCTGGCCTCGAGGCTGGCCTTCGGTGCCTTCGGAAGGAAGCCGACGTCGTCTGCTCGCCGGTCCTCTTTTTCTCAAGGCCTCGAAATGGCAACGGAGCAAAAGGGATGCAATCGGACGCAGCATTAGTTGGCCCGTTGGTGCGTGGGGGTGGCATTGGCGTCTGGAGTCTGGTTGACGTACTTGCGGCGGCCGCGGCGAGGAGGCTGACGAGGCCGGCGGCGACCACGAGGGCGGCCGCCCTTGGCGCCGGGCAGGTGGGCGGCGGCATGCTGTGGTGCTTGGCGGCCTCGTTGGCGGCGCCCAGGACGTCCTGCAGGGCCTGTCGGCGGCCCGACGGCCTGCTGCTGTGCGTGATGCTGGCCGCTTATCGGGGCCGAGACTGGGAGACTGGGGCGTGACGGGGTCGGGGTGCCGAGGAATGAAGTGAAGGAGTTATCTATCTATCGGCCGGCCTGGCGGGGCTGCCGGGGCTGCCCTTGGTGAGAGCGCGAGGCTGGCGGCCTCCTCCACCCCCGCGACCCGCGCATGCCGCGGCCACGCAGTGCACGCAGTGCCACACGATAGCCGGTAGCCCTGGCTGCCCTGGCTTCCTGCCTGGGTTGCTCTTGTTTCGCGACTGCCGCCGCTTGCAACTTGGACCGGCACTGTCGGACTGCGCGGCGCGTGGACTGCTCGCCTGCCCGCTCGGCAGTGCTTCGCGATTCCCGCTTCGCCTCGGCGGCGTCCAGACGGAGACTGGCTGAACCAAAACCAACAACTGGTGGGGCGGGGCGGGGCGAGGATGAGATAGGGAGGGGCGGCCGGCCGGTCAGTGTATGCCCCCCTCCCCTTCTCGTACCCCTACCCACTGTCACCCCCGAGCCTCACACAGCCTCCTGCGTGTCCGCTTCGTCGTCTCACCCCCCGGTGGCTGTCTCTCTCCCACCCCGACTCATGACTGGGAGAGACGGAGACGAAGCACCGTTCAGAGTCCTGGCCCTTCTCGTCACTTGACAGTGTATGCACGTGTGCGGTGCCGGCAGTGCCGCGTAGGCATGGCGTTGCACAGTGGGCCAGAAGACAGGTGGAGGCGGCCAAAACTCTAGACGCGTTTTGAGCTCCAGAGTCGCAGAATGGGACTCGAAACGAACGTGTGACCCCGCCAATGGATTGCTCTCCGAACGAGGAGTCCATTGGTGGGGTCACACGTTCGGTTCGAGTCCCATTTTGCGACTCTGGAGCTCAAAACGCGTCTAGAGTTTTGGCCGCCTCCACCGGTCTTCTGGCCCACTGTGCGTTGCAGGGCACGCGGGCCGAGCGGCACATTGGCGTTGCAAAGCTGCCTTCAACGCGTAGCCTGCCGTGGCCTGTCAGCTGGAAGGCTGCAGGGAAGTGCGCGCCAGCACGCCAGCCGCGGACGCCAAGTGGACGCGGGGACGCAGCTGTCCACGGGGCGGGGCGGGGCGGGGCGTTCATTATCCAATGTACCGCGGCGGCCAGATTCTTGGCGACAAACGGAACGCACCAGATCGACACGCGACGGTCTAGGTCAGGATTCCCCGAGAGCCGGCCGGGATAACCCTGGAAAGTCATGACGGCAATGCTGATCGTGAGACGTACACTTTTGTTTTGGTGGTCATGCGGAAATTCCGTACTGAATGAATGTCAAAATTTTCTCATGTGGCCAAACGGCCTTGGTGCTGTTGCGGGTCGCAGCCTTCGAGCGGCCCGTTCTGCAGTGTGGTTCAGGCGCGGATACAGAGGGGGGGAGGGGGGGCAATGGGGTTTTTGCCCCCCCCCCCTAGCCCCTAGATGCCGCCTGAAAGGTGGGCAAAAAGTGCTACTTTGCCCCTGTAAGTAGGCAAAAAGTACGACTTTGCCCCCCCATAGGCCGCCTCTGGATCCGCCACTGGTGTGGTTGCGTAACGAGGGAGGCCGCGAGTCGGCGGACCGGTCGAGGGACGCATAATTATGGCAATATCAATATCATTATAACGGGCCAAACGGTCGACCCGCCGCTTTTCGGCCGCTTCGACGCTTGTCAAAAGAATTTGCTACACGTGTTCACTGCTGCCGCGAAGGGCGAAGCAGCTTTCCGGCTGGGGTTTTTGCGGTGTACTGTACCGCCTTAAGTCTTACTCTGGCTCCGCGACCGCGTCCGCGACCAGCCCTTGCAGATTGGCGCGCTCGGGCAGCCCAAGCAGAGTACAGTCGTGCCCGGCATCTCAATGCCACACTCCGCCAGGCCAATGCGGTGCAGGCAGTGCAACGCAGCGCAGCACAGCGCGCGTGTCCAGAAGTGCAGAATGAAACCAGGGCCGCGGTTAGATCAGGCGGAGTACTCTTCGTGACCTTGGACGTATCTCCTCCTCCAGTTGGGCGATTCACAGGCGATGCCCTTTGGACAGGTTCTTGCTGTGCCCCCGCACTCCCATTTTCGACCCCAGCCCTCCCCAGTGGAGTGGGTTGCCGGCTCACGACCCACAGTGGGCCAGAAACCAGGGCAGGCGGCCAAAATTCGAGACGCGTTTTGAGCTCCAGAGTCGCTAAATGGGGCTCAAACCGAGCGTGTGACCCCACCAATGGATTCCTCGTTCGGAGAGCAATCCATTGGTGGGGTCACACGTTCGATTCGAGTCTCATTTAGCGGCTCTGGAGCTCAAAACGCGTCTCGAATTTTGGCCGCCTGCGCCGGTTGCTGGCCCACTGTGCGACCGGGCGGCACTGCGCCTTGGCTGCGCGCTCCGCGGTGTGCGCCGTCAGCCAGATGCCTCACCCGGAGTGACGGAGTGAAGGAAAGCGAAAGTCAGCCCTCTTGGCCGTATTGTTTCCCGGCCGAGTGCCCCGGCACTGCCTGCAGTGCCTGTTCCTCGATGAATCTGCCGCGTCGACCCTGTGGGCCTGGAAGGGGGTGGGGTGGGGTTGCCGCCACTAGTACACCGTGTGACCTGTTCGCGTTTGTTCAGCCATCCTGCAGCATTTGCGTTGCGTCCGCCATGTCTCCCCTCTAACGACACCCCTTGTCTCTGTCCCTCCAGAGGCTCGCACGCACGGCGTGGGCTACTTCCCGTTCTCGCGCGACGAGAGCGTGCGCCGGACGCAGCAGGACGACCTGAAGAAGCTGCGCAAGGAGACGGAGGCCAAGCAGAAGGCCGCCCTGACGCAGCGCGAGCGGCGCCAGCAGCTGCTCAACGCGCGCCTGCGGGCCGCGCACAACCGCAAGCGCGCCAGGGAGGGACTGCCGCCCCTCGGGGAGGGTGAGTACCGCACAGTGTGCCAGTAGCTGTGGAGATTTTCTTGAATGATTGGTGTATCTTTCCGCACAGACGAGGAGCTGCCCGGCGCCAAGACCGAGGAGGCCGAGCAGGTGGAGGAGCCCGAGCCCACCCCCGTGCCCACCGTCCAGCGAGCCAGCGGCCCCAGGCCCAGGCCGTCGCCCGCCATCCGGCCGTGGGACATCGGCAAAGAGGGCGTCCCAGGTGAGGGCAGGGGATCTGTCTCTGTCAGAGTGTTTTGCGTGACGCGGCGCCGTCGGGGTAGGCCGCCCAACTGGCTCGCGTGCTGTGCTGATTGTCGCTCTCTGCCATTACAGTGCTGACTCAGTCCGAGTGGAACGACAAGCAGCGCGCCGAGCGGAAGAAGGAGTTCGCGCCGCCCTCGTTCTACGAGGACCGCCAGGGCGACCGCCAGGGCGCTGAGCGCCGCGACCGCCAGCCCGACCGCCGCCGAAGAAGAGACCGCGATGACGACGACATCGGTCCGCCCGCGCCCAGCAGCTCACCGCCCCCGGGACCCGCGCCGCCGCCGTCGCCACCCCCGGGCCCGGTGCCGGCCCCAGTGCCCGCCCCCGACCTGTCGTGGATGAGCGTGCCGCCGCCGGCGTTCGTGCCGCCCCCGCTGCACCTGCCGCCGCCAGGGTGGCCGCCACACCCCGTGCCGCCCCCGCAGCCCCCGCTGCCGCCAGAGGACCCCGACGACTCGCGCGGCGGGCTGTTCTTCACCAGCAAGAGGCCCAAGCGGGACTGGCGCGCGGCGCAGGCGGCGCAGGAAGTGCGGCTGCCCATGGAGGAGGAGGAGGACTTCTCCGAGGAGCCGCCGCCGCCCGGGGTGACGGAGCCGCCGTCGCCGCCAGCGCCGCGCCGCCGCGAGGAGAAGAAGAAGGGTGGCAGCGACGCGGGCCGCGTGGGCGCGGAGATCGCGCCGCCGCCCACCATCGAGTACTTCGGGCCCTCCGAGTCGGCGGCCGAGCGCAGCAGGAGGGCCGGCCAGGGCGGCGGCCAGGGCGACCTCTCGGCGGCCATCTCGGCGGGGCTGCGCTACCTCAGGGAGGAGAGCGAGAAGAAGGAGCGGAAGCGCACCGACAAGGGCTGGGCGGACTTCATGTAGAGCCGATGTTACCACCTCGGGAAATAAATTGTGATACTTTTGTCGTACAGCTGGCTATCTTTCGTGCCCGATATCCGACTTCCCGCCTCATTTCTGCACACACTGTCACTGCTCGCAACACTCACTTCAGACCCGCGCACACCGCGCACGCGGTGATATGCATATTTAGGCGTGACACTCGCGCCGCCTGGGAAACGGGCAGCTGCTTCTCAAACAGTAGAGACCCACTTTGCGGGCAAACTGCATTGTCAGGGGCGCACGCTGAGCTCACCCACAAACTTGTCCGGAATCCGAATGACCCAGTTTCAGAAAATGGTCGATCCTTTTCCCTCGCGCACAACCTGGCTATAGGTTTGTGGGCGGCCCCCGGCGTCACAAGGGCCTGCCTCGCAGTCTGCCTCGCAGTCCCCTCCAGAGGTCATTTCCATCAGGGCGGCGCGGCGGTGTGCCAGCGGCCAGCGCGCTCAACCTAAGCTGTGCCGTGTCCCAAAGTCCGAACCACACAAATCCGGCGCAGAACGTCAGTCAATCAAAACCGAGACACTTTTAGCGGGCTGGGGCCCCTGGCGGCGGAACGATGCCGTCCCGTCGAACAAGGCTGCGTTCGGGTTGCCCACCCGCCAGGCGCCATGGCCCCTTACGACGGCGGGGTAGGCAGTCCCGTCGAGCAGGGCTGCATCCGGGTTGCCTACCTGCCAGGCGCCATGGCCCCTTATGACGGCGGGGTAGGCAGTCCCGTCGAGCAGGGCTGCATCCGGGTTGCCTACCCGCCAGGCGCCATGGCCCCTTACGACGGCGGGGTAGGCAGTCCCGTCGAGCAGGGCTGCATCCGGGGCGCTTTTACACCTCCTCGCGCAGAAGGTGAGGCCAGTTCCTTTTTCGCTGAGTGTTTGCCTTGCCGTGCACGAACCAACCGCATGCGAGGAGAGTGGTTCCGAACAGTGCGGAAACGGGAACGGCCCATGAGTGCAAGAGAGACAGAGCGACGGGACGCATCGGGACTATCCTGCCCACCTAGCCCTTATCTCGAGGCCACCACCTGATTCCAAAGGCCCCTTCCGACGCTCTGTCTCTCTCGCACCCCCGCGGGAAGCCCCATGAGTGCGAGGGAGACAGAGCGACGAGCCGCATATCCTGCAGGACGGCTGTGCTGCAGTGTTATCGCGCTCGCGTCACTACAACAGGCGTCACTCCAAAGGTGTGCCTCATGCGCGCGTTCGATGGCCAACATCCGACTGGCCCGGCCAGCCTGGGCCAGCCCTACACTCTAAATATGGGGTGCCCAGAAACTGGGCGCCTTTGTCGCCCGCCCCACTTTTTAGGGTGCCAAATGTCGCCCAGTTCCTGGGCACCTTTGTCACCCAGTCTCGGGGTGGACAAACCATTAGGAAACCTGCCTTCACCCATGGCTCAGCAGCGACTGAGGTGCCGAAGGTGCCCAGAATCTAGGCACCTTAGTCGCCCAGGATCTAGACACCTGAGCATGCTACCATGGGAGAAGGCCGGTTACTGTATGATTTGTCCACCCCGAGCTGGGCGACATTTGGCACCCTAAAATGTGGGGCGGGCGACAAAGGCGCCCAGTTGCTGGGCACCCCATATTTAGAGTGTAGCCGGGAACAGTGTACGTCATGTGTCCTGTGGGCCCAACGCTGCGGATAAGTTCGGGGATCCCTTCGGCGCGATAGCAACGCCTTGAATAGAGATTGAGGTTACCGGCAAGTCACATCTTTTTCACGCACTCCATCTTGTCGTCTCTCTGTGGTCTCTCTGCAGTGCGCTGTGCATGGAGCCTCTGCCGCGGTCGTGGGGAAGGGAAGGGAAGTCTCCGTGGAAGTCCCCAAGCTCAAGCTCGAAGGGGAGGGGGGGGGGCACGTGCGGACTTCGGCCCGCGTCGCAGTGGTGGGGGTGGAGTGGAGTCCCGGCATCGGCACGGCACGGGAAGGGAACGGGACGGACGGGCACTGAAGCAGTGCACCGCGCCCGAAACCAAAACCACGACGTCGGGGTGGCAAAACTTTTCTGTCTGCCTTCCAGTGCCGGATTTAAAGGAATACAGTGGACTGCTCTGGCCTCTCCGGCCGTGTCGGTGGTGATTTTGCTCCAGGTGCTCTAGTTCCGGACATCGTGACACTGCAGACACTGCACAGAAATGGATTTCTTGTCGTCTGCTATCCCTTCGCTGGACTCGGATTTTCTACCCCGCTGGTACTTGGCAGCGTTCGTCGTCTCCGGTTATGTCATCTACTACATTTGCGAAGTTGCGAAGGTTGGTTCAAGTTTAAAAGTATGACGGTTTTACATAAAATTTCTTCATGACATTGTGAGGTTGAGGTTACTCGCCAAGATAAATTTTTGAAAGTTGTTGAGCGCTTCCTCTTATTTTTATTTATGAATTGCATGCTGCTTAAAATTTTAATAGAAGTTGTCCAGTATTTTTAATTGATGTGTACTTTTGCAGGTTCCTCAATTAGCTTGCGCACCTGGAGAGTTTCGTTCTTTCCTGGAGCAGAAGGTTCCTATTCTCAAAGAGCGATTCTGGCCAACAATCTGGTGCATTGAATCTCGAGCTCAAACAGTTTTAGCAAATGTATTTCGAGAACGACTAATGAAACAAGTTCATTATCGAAGGTAAGTCTCATGACTGTCTCAACAACATTTGGCACGTTAAATAAAGGTGCTCGAGTTGTATTGATAGATCAATTTATTTTAAGAATGTCGTTCAGATTATTTTTCAATTTTTGTTTGTTTCTAGGGAGGTTTTGGATTTGCCTGATGGAGGACAACTGGCTCTTGATTGGTTAGAAGACAACTGCACAGAAAATTCCCCTATCCTTCTCATTTTACCTGGTCTCACTGGATCCAGCCAAGCTGAATACATAAGATGCCTTGTCCAAGCTGTAAACCGCAGTGGGTTTAGAACTGTTGTTTTCAACAACCGCGGACTTGGTGGTGTTGTTCTCAAGGTATTGTCGCTACTGTCTCAAATAATTGACTAACTAGTGTCAAATTCCCAAAACAGTTTTGATTTTTACTTGTTTTGATCAGACACCCAGGCTTTACAATGCCTGCAATGGTGAAGATCTTGCAGAAGCTATAAAACTCATCAAAGCAAAGAATCCAAATGTTCCTCTGGCAGCTACAGGAATTTCCATGGGCGGGTTAGTGACATTCTTTGAAGAAGAAAATAAAATGATACTCTGTTTCTGGTTTTTAGGCACGCACTTTTGCCTCTATTTCTTATTCTATTTTCGTTTCAGGTTGGTTTTGGGTAATTATATTTCAAGAAGAGGAAAGTCTGTCAGATCCGAACTGGCTGCGGCAATGTTGATATCCGTACCATGGGATTTATTCAAAGCTTGCGAAAGCATTGAAAAGCCTGGTTTGAACATGATGCTCAACAAGCACTTGGCTGATCTATTATGCCAAACACTGAAAAAGTACAGCTAAAATCCAAGAAATGTGTATTTTCTAGCTAACTCTGAACTGTTAGTTAAACTGTTTTTCTATTTCCAGGCAAAATCATTTGGATTGGGGTAATCTTGATGATACTTTTAAGGTTTGTGTCCCCTATTTTAACATGAGGGCATTGTTCTTCTTTGGTTTGCTGTACAATGTGATCTTATCATGTACGTTTCTTTTGCAGAGCCGTACCATTCGCGAATTTGACAGTAAATTCACTTGCAAGGCTTTTGGATACTCGGATACTAATGAATACTACTCAGATGCTACCCTTCACACAAAGTTGCACCAGTTTCAAATCCCAACGCTTTGCCTCAGCGCAGCTGATGATCCATTTCAACCTCTTGATGGTATGTTTTATATTTAGGACATGTAATAATGCTTAAATGCATTTTAAAACTTTATCCTTTTTTGTTTTTACAGCCATACCAGTAGATGAGTTCAACAAATGCAAAAACATAGCAGCAGTTGTGACTGCTAGGGGAGGACACATTGGATTCATGGAAGGTTTCCTACCCTCCTCTTACCGAGGTAAAGATGATTATATGGATAGAATTCTGTGTCAGTACTTCAGTGCCATATTTCGGGATGGAGGAAAAATCATGGCTAAACTGGATGGTTGAACAAGGGAGGCCATCCCATTTTATCTACATAATATGGGCACAATTTATTTCCCTCCTTGTGCTTGTTGCACCCTCATTGTCGTCCAAGAAAGTTAGGGACGGTAAATTATTAGTCTGCCTTTTCAAATCCTTAACCAAATAGTCACTCTGAAAGCGGGTATAAAAAAGAGCACAGACATTATTACAGTAATAACAAAAACCAATGTGCTTTATAGTTCACAGTTGTTACCCTACAGTATTATTAGGTGAAGGCATTTGTGTTGTAGTTATGTCTACCCAGAGCCAACTTAAATAAATTCTGGACTATGAATGTCATCTCATGGTTGGTAAAAATTCTGTAGAAAGTGGGTCTAAATTTTAGAGAAAGTTCACCTTTAGGTACGCACAACTCTTCTCAGTCTTGTCAACAAGAAAAATTAAGACTACTATTTTTAATTAAAAACTCTTGTGTACATTTAAAAAAATTTAAGTACTTGACCACAGCTGTTGGAGTGCTGAGTGTCTTGTATGTAATACTTTAAGTTATTGTTAGTAAAGATACCTAGATTTTCTGTGTTAATTAGTTTTAGAAAACTTTAAAATTAAAACACTAATGAGGCTGATTAATATTTTAAGTAACATCCACCATATTTTAGCAGAAATAGTTTTAGTAAACTGAAAATCTGTCTTCTACTTACCTTTATCTTCCACTCTTAACGTTATCAATACTGTCTTGCTGATAGCCCTTTTATCATTGTATAATATTTTGTATTGTTGCTATTTCAACATTGTATTCCATATGCTTTTCACAACTTTTGAAATATAAATGGATATTTGCTCAAGCAGCTCAAGCTAGCCTACTGTTCATTTGCCTGAATTTTCCAACACTTGGACCTGCCACTGCCTGCCACCCTTCTAGCGGCAGAGTCACCTAATCACCAATCTCCACAGGTGACATTGACATTCCCCGCAACCCCGGCCCCTCCCCCCTCCCCTTCCCCCGCTACACTGTTGTTGTTTTGTTGTTGTTTTGATTCGCAACCACCACCATAACCCCAAACACTAGCAGAAGAACAAGCCCGAATGATTCTTTCACATCTCTTTGTACATAGTAAGTGTACATGAATTGTACTTGTTCTTTCGGCAGCAGTTTCCTGCTCTGGGTGGTTTGGTGTAGGCAGTTACGAAAGACACTCAAATGGTTAATTTATGAGTTTTTGGTATATGTGCCTGCTCCGGCACCTGTTTCGTTTTCGCTTATGTATCTGACTGTATCTATCGTGCATGTTTCTGTATCTGTTTACGAATAGAATAGAGCACTTAGTTTTATCTTCCATTGTGAATGAAAAAGTCTGCTGCTTGACTCCTGACACCATCATTTGACAGGTAGCCATAGCCTCCTTATTAAGTGTTTGTTTCTCTTTAGGACATGGCCTCCTCCAGAAATCCCTCACCATCCCCGTCTATCTCTTCGACTTCAACCGACGTCACATCTGATTTGAGCCCTGAAGAAGCTGAAATCAGAAACTTTGTCAAGAAGCGACTAGGCAAACGGCTTTTCCTGGGGCATTATCAGGAACGCAGATATGTCGACACCCTTAGACTGTATAGGTGGGTTCTTTTAAAATTATGTTGCGTGTTGTATATGCATTCATGCTTCACATCAGTAGTTCTTGCATCACTTTTCAATGAATCGTTTTAAATCGTATGAAATTTCAGAGATGTGGTTGTTCTTCATAAGTCCGAAACGGAATTACAAGTTGATATTGAGAGAGTTCAGCTGAAACTGATTTCCTTTTACCGTGGTGGAAAGTGGTTAGGCATTACCAGTAAGTTTGATGATTGCTATCTATTTTTTGATTTGGACTGAATGTTCCTATTATACAGAAACTTAAAAATTTCAGGCCCAGATACTATTGGAGCTCCAGCAGCAGGGCATTGCCTTTGGACCAAGCTTCAGGATGTTGCTTTTGGCTTCTACTGGTTTCAAATAAGGCAAATTCGTTTTGAAGACAATGCAGTGGAAGTGAGGCTGAAAGTCATTAGGTATGGTTTTAATTTTACGTTTTTAAAACAACAATTAATTTTTGGATTAAGAAAAACAAGGTCTGCTTATTTGTTTTCAGAAAAGTAAATGAGGAAGTCATTGCTCCTGCGGCTGCTGCTCCTAGCTTGTCCAAAACTATATCCGACAATGTAGACTCATTGAAGAGCCGCATCAAAACAAGTATCCATTCTATGAACGAAAATCCTTCCTCCAAAAAGGAATCATCCTCTGAGAATGACAATCCATCCTCGAAAAAGGAATCACCCTCTAAACCGTCACAATCTGTTCCTGAGAATGACTGTGCAGAAAAAGAGGGCTCTGTCCCAGTGCCTGATAAACACACAATTACAGTAGATGATATGAAAGTACTTGGCCAAGTTGTAATCCATAATTGGAAAGAGATTTTCTTGTTCCTAAGCACAGCAATTGTAGGCATTGTTATTGGACTTGCTAAGTGTGTGGAATATGCTGGTAATTTCTCATTGAAACTCTTGCACGAATTTTCATTTTTAATGAGAACATTAACTCCAATCGTCTTAGGTGTGATAGAACTTGTGGGTAAACTAGTTGGTGGCTTGTATCTTCTAATTGCAATGCTATTCCGAGGCAATGGACCTCCTCCTCCACCTCAACAGTTCAGGCGCCCTCAGCTTACCATGGGCGCCCAGCGTACTCCTGATCAATTTGGTCGTGAACTCTTTTTCAAAAGAGCTGGACCACCTGGTTTTGAAAATAGGCGGAATAGATATTAGATCTTTATTCACACCTTAAAAAAAATTTTAAAAAATGAAGCCAAGTTTAGTCCTCCTCTGCCCGCCCTTGTTGTACTGTTTTAATCGTGAGAATACTATTTCTTATTTATAGCTAGTGGTTCAATGTAGAAATACTCCAGATGAGCGGAAAGCTCTACAATGTCTTGCTTATTGTCTAGCTTTTTTTTTATTTTCTTGTCAAATGATTTATTTATGGCTACTGCATATTATATCCTTTTTTCATCTACTGAGGGACCATTCTCTTTTATTATTCTTGACAGTGATATGTTTTTGGGCGTTTTATGTTCCAAATGGCTACAAATCTAGTGGTTTGTATTAGAATAGATGCATGAGCTATGAAATAGTGATGCATTTCTACTGTTGCATGACAAAATATATGTGATTAATGACTGTTCTAATTTAATTTTCTCTTGTTTTTAAGTTGAGAGCATGTTATTATTGTATGAAAGTGGTTTGTAAATACTACTTACACCATAACCATTGTTGAATAAAGTACGTTTGATGTAGTAAGACAGGTGATTTTGTTTCCACTGCTCTCTCCGCCAATAAAAGAACACAATTTTCAGAGTTAGAAAACATTTACTAAAAAATCTTTTATGAGAGGTAACAGTCTATCATGCCAATAAAATCTATAAATAGTAATAATGAAATGAGTAATTTGTTACTACACCTTGCTTCACCCTACATTCACTACCTTTTCAGATAAACAAGATACTGAAGTGACGAGGAAAGGCAAAATTGAAGCAATAACAATTTGGATGAAGGAACCTATCTAGACTTAACATAAGTAATGTGAAGTACAAAACAAAACAATCATAAATTCTTGATGATATATTATCTTTTCTTAAATAAAACAACACACAAAATAAAGTATTATTGAGCATAGCATAGGTACCAGACCTACACCTCAGCCTCAGGTACTTCCAAAGATTAATTTAAATTCCACTACCGCACCATTCAAAGTTTCGATGGGTTAGAAGAAAACCATTAAAAAAAATATAAGTGGATGGATTTTGTTTAAAACAAGGGTTGTATGTTTGCTCTAGAAAGAGAGCTGCACTGTTCTACAGAAGTAACATTACAAGAAAGTATGAACTAGGTAATTTTGAATGTGAACGGCACAAACCAAAATTTTACAGAGAATACTTTGGAAAACTTCAAAGGCACATGACATATTGCTGTTGTTACAGATTAATACAAAATTTAAACAACTTTCTACTGAAATCAAAACAAAATTACTTAAAACTTGATTGAAGTTCACACCTAACTGAGATGAATATTGGAGTGGTTCAATGTTTAGGGGATGTATGGAATCTTTGATAAATTTCCCCCGCCACCAGTTTTCTGTCCCATAAAAGAAGCCTACTTTATGAGTGGATTTAATAAGAGAATAAATTAAAATAAGTAAAAGAAAATATCAGGCTGGCAATACTGTTAAGTAAATCTCTACCCTTGTAGCTGACTCTACCGAATCACGTGCAGAGGAAGTGTCATGTTCTTTGGCAGGCATGCAAGTAATTTCTCTCCAAGATCTCTTGAAACCTGACCCCAAGAATATTTGTCTATTGGGAATACATCTTCGAGAGGCACTTTGAAGGAAACAAGCATGGTAAGGCATAGTCCATCATGCATTGCCTCTGGTTTTCCACAGTGTTCCACAGACATCAATCCATGAGGTTTGTGAGATGGAACATCTGCCCCAAAAATCTCCTACAATAAAGAAAAACAGAGTTTGAGCAACAGGAATTGAAGAACATGAATACCATGAATATGAACATACTCACAATCATGAATTTGAGAAGTAACGAATGAAGATTTCTATTGTGGTTAATCTCACACATTGGAAGATGAACTTCAGTCTTCTCTGACAGCAAGACATGGAGTCGATTGCTGGAATATTTTAAATTGATTAGTTTAACTCACACCCAATCAAAACTTTAAATAACATGCACCTCACCTGCTCTTTTGTCTAGCACAAACAACAAGTCTCAGGAGCAACTTTTTGTGAGGCTTGATTGCTGGCAATACATTAGAATGTATTGAATGATTATTTGAGACAGAGCTTTGGTGCTCACGGGCCATTTCAATGATGCTGTGAATGTCTGACGCTCTAAGGCTCAATTCATTAATATCTTGAATCCATTTTGCTTGCAGAGACTCACTGTCGGCATCAGCAGGTGTTTTCAGCTTTCCTCCTTCAGAGACCAAAGTAAAAAAATGTGAAAGTTTCTTTCATGAAAGTAAACTACATGAGAAGTATATCAATTGAGGCAGCTGGAACAAACCTGTCACGTTTCCTGTGAACACAAACCGGAACCATGCTTTACTGGCACATTCAACCATTAATAATGTAGTAGGCTGCATTTCCAAACCAGTTTCTTCCAATACTTCTCTTACAACAGCTTCCTACAGCAAAAAGAATTCAATCAGTCCACGAAAACATTTAGCCTAAACCTAGAAAGTAATATTAAAAAATCAAATACCTCTAGATTTTCTCCAGGATTTACTCTTCCTGCCGGTAAATACCACTGTCCTGCACAGGAACTTTTGGCCTCTTGCATCATGAGGACTTCACCCTGGGAGTTAAATAGCACTCCCATTGCAATGTAGGTGACAGTGTTTCCCAGGATTGGAATGTAATCCGATGGTGTAGTTGGAGTAACGCCTTTGGCAGCTGTGAAAGTATTAGATGTAAAAACAAGATTCTACAATGAGCACACTCTTAGTGAGCAATGTATACCAAAGAGAGACTTTCTACGACAAGTAAGAAGTAGTAGTAAGAAGGGAAGGCGAGCGGCAGAATCGGTAAAGGTCTTAGGACTGCCACCATACGTGGTGAGGTTATTGAACTGCTGATGTGATCGGATCGCCAGTTCAATGAGGTGACGTTCCTAGACCACTCACCTGTCGCTTCATTCTGCGCGGCCAGGGTGAAGTCGCACAGCTCGTCATCCTCGTCCAGGGCTTCTCCAGAGAGGAGCTTTCTTATGCTGGCTTCTGCTTGTTCCATAACTTTTGACACTTCGACAACAGACGACAAGAATTTCCAACGAGACACGACGTAAACAAACAGGGTAGGGTAGGATAGGAAGTGGAAGTAGGCACAAGCCACAAGTTTTGACCGCTAGGGGCGCCAGGGGCGCCATAGGGAAGCAAACGGCGGCCATGCCGGGTACAGTTTTAGAACTTTAGCTCTCGTTGTGAGATTCTAAAGGAGATATAATTTGCATCATTGGAAAGCTTGGAGTGTCATCCACAATTGGCTCGCTTACTTTACGGGCTTATCTTGCAAGACTACGAAGTTGTGAGTGAAACTAACGGACTCCCGTGGACTTCCCGGGGTCTAAAGTACACTAGCGCCACCTACCGCGAGTTTTACGTGTCGCGTGCCGGAGTGCGCTCGCCTCTTTAGCTAACCTAGCATCATCCTCAGTGGCCGTTGGCCGTCCGTCGGGCTCGGCAAAATATTTGTGTGGCGGTGATTATGTTTTGAATGTAACGTTTTGGCGCGGTTTGAATGATCGGTCAGTGTTTGTGAAGTGCTTGTGTTCGTGCTCAGTGATTAGTGATTTACCGCACCTTTGGAATACCTCCTATTCTGGATATTCGCCATGTAATAACGTTTCAAGGTAAGTAGTCTACGCCACGGCAGACGGCAGGCCAGTGCACTACAGGTGATTGGGATCCTCTCGTGAGGAAACATGTTCAAATTTTGTCACCGCTGGTGTCTGAGCGATCAACCACCATGTAACGATTTGTTGGTGACAGTTGTCATTCACAGATAATTAAAAATGTTCAAGTGACACTTGTTTATTTTTGTTGGGTGGCTTGTTTGAATGGGGATGACCAATCTTCCCTGTAGTCTCTTGACACCAAACCGTATCAGGGTAGTTTCTGGGAAGCGGGAAGACCATTTTCCATTCCTGTTTTAATTTTTCATGATTATTGGATATTATTGCCCCTTTATTCCAAGACCAATAGATTTCTGTTGTTTGTTTGCTGTGCACACATTTGGCAAAAAGTTGTAAAATTGGACTAGATTAAGCAACGATTGGTTTATTTCAATTTGGGCTTGTGCCTGTTATCATGGGTTTAAAACAAATCAAATCTCTTACTTTGTGATTGAGCTCTAACCTCACTTCTCCAGCAGCTGACCTGATCGCTGTCTTACGCTCAACTGCACTGCATGTCTGAAAGCCAGCTGCGTCGTACTCTGTTATGTTCTACTTCTCTAACACAGTGGTCTTTCCCGGAATGAAACCTCAACTCTTGTATTGGACCAATGTATTGGACCTGGAAATATGGACAGTCAGAAGGGATTGTGACTACCGTTCACGGAGACAGAAATGATTCATTTCCCTTTTCTTTTGCGGTACCATCATCGTAAAAAGTGAAGAACCATGGCCACATTCCATCATTGCCTGAAAGTGGTTGGGAGTGAGCTTTCTTCACTGAAAGCCTGAGAGGAATGAGTTGGATGTCTTGTCTCCCTTTTATCTCCACCCATCTGTCACCAATCCGCCCCTTCCTTCCGAGAGGGTGCTCCCCTCCCCCTCCCCCTCCCCAGCCGGCGTGCGGAATGCTCTAGCCAAGCCCTCGGCTTGTCTTGTCGGGGGCCGTCCCCAAACTAGCGAGTCGATGACTGGCCACCCTCGCTCGCGCCGCCAGCCGGGGTCATTACCCCTCCGCGGAATCCCAGCCCCAGCCGCAGTGGGCGTGGTGGGTGCTGACGGTGTGCTTAGGGCCGGGCCCTAGGGCCGGGCCCTGCCACCCTCGCCACCCTCGCCCTCCGCCGGCGGGGGAGCCGGCCGGTGCGTGCGGCGCGCGGCGTGCGTGGCCGTGAGGGGCATGGCCGTGAGCGTGAGGGGGAGGGTGGCGTTGCAGGGGCGCGGCGGCCTCCAGCCCTCCAGCCTGAGACAGCCAGCCAGGCGGGCTGGGCCCATCTGTCTGCTGTCCCAGCTGTCCCAGCCCGTGGCGCTGTGCCCTGCTGTGCCCGTTGCCGCCGTGTTTGAGGAGCTTCGATGCCCACGGGGCGCCAAGGGCCAGGGTGCCAGACACGCCCCGCCACGCGCCGCCACGCGCCCGTTGATGCATGACGGATGACGGCGACCTTGACGAGGCACGCCCACGACGTCCTCGACGTCCAGCCGCATGCCGCCGGCCCGGCCTGCCCTCCGCACCCCGACGGCCTGCGACGGCCGGCCGCTCCCCGACCTGACTCACAGTGGCGCCCCGTGGCCGAGGCTTTGGCGCGGACTGTACTCACCCCTTGGCCTCGCCGCGGCCTGCCGTCGTGGGTGTTGCTTGGGACTGTACAGTGCACGCGCCGGGGGCGGGGGTAATTGCCCTGGCAGCACATCCTAGCCGTTTTGCCGAGGATTACGTGTGTTTCTGTGCAACCCTCCGCAGGCGCGGTCTCTAGGCCCGCCGCAAGTAGGCCGCCGATCGGCCCCTCGCTCCCTCTCTCTCGCACCCGTGAGGCCGCCGATCGGACCGTGCCTCCCTCTCTCTCGCACCCTTGCGCGACCCCGCGGGCGGCCCGTCCCGCCGTGAGTGATGGCTTATTTGTACCAATAAAGTGAAAGCGCCGCAGTAATTCGTTTATTTGAGATGATCCGCTGGCCGACCTTTGAGGCGCTGCCTGCCCTGCACAGTGGGCCAGAAGACCGGTGGAGGCGGACAAAACTCTAGACGCGTTTTGAGCTCCAGAGTCGCTGAATGGGACTCGAACCGAACGTGTGACCCCACCAATGGATTGCTCTCCAAACGATGAATCCATTGGTGGGGTCACATGTTCGGTTCGAGGCCTGTTTAGCGACTCTGCAGCTCAAAACACGTCTAGAGTTTTGTCCGCCTCCACCGGTCTTCTAGCCCACTGTGCCCTGCCTGCGCGGCGTGGTGTTGATTGGCGTTAGCGTCGCAGCGCCGGCGTGTGAGGAGTCTCGCTGCGGCAGAATCCTCGAACCGGCCCGAACCCGAACTTGAACCCGAACCGAACCGGTCCGACTCAAAATCCATCATCCATCGCGGTCGAGCCCACCGCCGATTGCTGATTTCGCGCACGGTTTCCGTTTCCGCGCAGTTCGGAAAGGCAACGGGATTCCAATGCGGCCGTTTTCGGCGCGGCCGGGGATCGAACCCCGGACCGGGACCAGCAGCGACGACGAGCGCGCGGCTTTTGAAAGGCGAAGGTGCTTCCGTGCTGTTGTGGTACTCTCTCCGTGTGATTGGGGCGCCGTCTTGCTGTCGCCTGAGGCCCGGGCCGCACAGTGTGCCGCACAGTGTGCCCTCGGCGCTCTGTCTCTCTCGCTCCCCCACGCGGCGCCGCGAGAGTGCGAGAGAGACAGAGTGGAGCCGGCTAATAAAGGGCACTACGATCCAGTTTCGCCGGATGGATCATGGATCGCCCATGGCACTGGCGAGACACTGCCGCGGCACTGCTGCCGAAATGTTTGGCGATCTCTCCGACGCGAAACCCGCGCCATCCTAATCACCGCCATTCGGTTGACTCTCGCTGGCCGTCGGCTGGCCGTCGGCTGGCCGGCAGGGCGCCGCTCGTTTGTCATTATTAAAAAGGCAGCGGTCTTTGCGCGGACAGTCGCGTTGATTCGGCCCATGCGGCGCGGTGCCGCGGTGCGACACACGGACACACTCACACACACGAACACATGGACACACACACGAACACTCACACACACACACACACACACACACACACACACGGACACATGGACACACACACGAACACTCACTCACACACACACACACACACACACACACACACACGGCGTGGCCCGGACGCATGAGTCACTGGCGCCGCGTGCGTGTTGGCGGCGCTCGGTTCGTCTGCCTGACGGTGTGCCCGGCGACGACGTCTCGGGGTTCATCGTGCCCGGACCCGTTCCAGCCTCATTCCCCCTCAACGTGACTGTGTGCGCGGGCACGGGTATTTATCCGCCGTTTCGTGCCTTTTTCCGAGTGGCGGCTGCCGGCCGCGCTATCAGTGCAGTAGAATGTGCAGCTCGGTGAAAATACGACGTGTGTGTGTGTGTGGGGGGGGGGGGGCGTCGCCAAAGGCATGGCCGCGGGGCCGGTCGCGGCCTCGTGTCGGCCCGTCTGTGATTTGGGAAGCACGGCGAGGCGCGGCAACGCCGAAGAGAACCGAGCCCCGGCCGCCCCGGCAACCTAGAACCGCTCGGACACCCTTCAATTTGTCCCAGGCGCCGCGCGACGACGCCGCGCGACGACGCCGCTCCGCCGCGACGCCTCGCGGGGCACGTCAAGCTCGTCGTGGTGGCGCCCGGCCCGGCGCCGCGAGGCGCGCTGCTCCACGGCGTCGCTTTCATATCCAAACCGCCGCGCCGCGTCGCGCCGAGACCGTCTCATCAGGCTCTGTGGTGGCGGCCTGGCGGCCTAGCGGCTGACGTGAGAACAGAACAGGCCTGGAAATGTCCCTCCAGTCTTGAGGGATTGAATTGAGAAATGGGCCTGTCGTCATGGGCCGGGCGCGGCCCGCCCGCCCGCCTGCCTGCCTGCCTGCCTGCCTGCCTGCCTGCCTGCCTGCCTGCCTGCCTGCCTGCCTGCCTGCCTGCCTGCCTGCCTGCCTGCCTGCCTGCCTGCCTGCCTGCCTGCCTGCCTGCCTGCCTGCCTGCCTGCCCGCAGCGCATAGACAACATAGGGACTAGACAAGAAATGGCAATAAAAAGACGGATTTTTATTGCCCCCCCTGTGGCGTCCGAAAACGCTCGAGATCCGGAGACGACCAAAGGGGGTGAAGCGAGGGTGGCGGGGAGTTTTACAACCGGTGAGGAGGCGGCTCCCCCCACCGCCAGCTGTGCGCCGCTCGGGGCTGGCTCGGAGTCCCGGAGAGCACGAGCGGATAGGCGAGCCGAAGGCGAGCCGAGCTCTTCGGAGCTTCCCGAAGTACACCACGTACACCGGTCATAAAAATCCCCGCCACCCTCGCTTCATCCCCTCTGGCTGTCTCCGGGACTGCTCGCCTCGGACGCCACAAAGGGGGGCAATAAACCGGACAGGCCAAAAGCACGGCAGCATAGGCTGGCTTCTCGTCTAGTCCCTATGTTGTCTATGCCGCAGCGTGAAGCCTGAAACAACGGAACGCGTTAGATTCATCTGTTTACTTGCCGTGCTTTTAGGAGGCTGAAAATGGGTTCGAGGGAAAAGACCCAGTGGATTCGGAAGGGTGTCAGTCATGACGTGTGGCCGTCGTGCTGGTTGGTGGTGGGGCCTGCACTGCCCGGCTGGAAGCACGCTGGAAGCACGCCGGCCGTCTGGGGCCGGTGCAGCGCAATCTCATACACGCAGAGCGAGAGGTGGAGGGGAAGGGGAGGGGCACTCAGGAGAGTAGTTCTCTTGAGGAGGAACCCGTTCCTAGCAATGTCCCTCTTCGCGCTGCTCCGCGCTGCTCCGATCTGGGTTTCAAGACCACCAGCTGCCGCATGTGCTGCTGCCTGCACTGCCTTGGCACTGCCGCCACGCCTGCCCCCCTTCTGGCCGCCGCCTGGCTTGATTAGTTTCACTCAATCAAAGATTCGCTCGCTTTTTGCTGTGTGGTTCTTCTTCGGCGCGCCGCGGTGGAAGCTTGATTGCCTCTTGAACGCGCTTCGGG